GAAAAATAACAAGAAAAGAAAGAATAAAAAGCAGGCAAAAAGAATGAACAAGAAGCAGAAGAGAAGAAAGAACAGGAAGCGACAGCTGAAACCCTATCTGTAATCCTCTGCGTGCGTGCGTGCGTGCGCGAGCGCGTGCGCGAGCGCCCGTGCGCGTGCGCGTGCGCGCACGATCGCAACAGCATCATTGGCATCAGCGGCTTGGGGGCGGGGGCCGAAAGTCGCGAAACACACGTCTAAACGAACGACGAAACCCTGGTTTTCCCGAAGAAAAACGCGTTTTCCCCGAGGTTGGGCGCTTTTTTCTGTTCCCGGCCCTCGCCCCCAGGCGAGCATCGTGAGCATCAGCGGCCTGGGCCCGCATGCGAACAGGTGGCTAGACACCTTGTTTTTGGATGCCTTGACCGCTGTCGCCCGCCCACACCCCCCAGACCTTCGGGGAGCTGCCCTTGGAGCAGCGCCAACCCACGCGACGTGCGCACGGCTGGCGCTGCGTGCATACACGGCAGCCACAACGAGGAGTTTTTGAACAGTTTTTCGCGCAACACGCAAAAGACATGGTATTTACCACGTTTTCGGCCCCTCGGACGCCCCCCCCCCCCCCAAGCGAGCATCATGAGCATCAGCGAGGCCCTCATGAGCATCAGCGAGGCTCCAGACCGGGACCCGAGGGCCCTGGAGAAATGAAGGGCTCATCAGCTCACCCGTGGGTGCGCATCGTAAGCGTCGGCTCCCCCCCGAAACCGTGGGTGTCAATGATGCTCACCGTGGAGGCGCGGCAGTGACCCAAAAGGAGGTGTGTGTCGAAACACGCGAAAAACGGTATTTCGATGTTTTCTGGCTTTGTTGAGGCGCCCGGGCCCTCCTGTGGCCCCGGAGGCGGGTCGCTGATGCTCATGATGCTCGCCCCTGTTGAGGCGTCGGTACCCCCCCAAAACTTGAGGAAGATGGTCTTTGGTCGATGACGCGCGCCGGGTCACGCATCATGAGTCCTCCAGGGCGTTTTGGCGGCCCTCCAAAAACGCAGAAAAGCATGGTATTTTACGATGTTTTCGGCACTTCTGCGCATTCGCGTTTGGGACCCCGCTCGGAGCCCTCCTGGGGCTCCCCCGGAGCCCCATGCAAGGAACCATGCGATTTTCAGGGCGGGTCGGCCGTGCCGTAAAAGGCAAGCCTAATTTAGGCTAAGCCGTGCTCCGCACTGGACCACGCGGCCAGGCCGGATTTAATGGCTGCCGCCAATGCCGCCGAGCCCAAAAACTGCCAGTTCTCCGAAATCCAGGCCGAGTCAAATCCGAGGAACTAAAGGCGGTCAAGATTGCAAGTCTTGCCAGTGCCATTGCAAAAATGCCCTCGCGCCGCTCATCATGGATGGGTTCCAGCTGCAGCGGGAGTTTGGGCATGCATTGGAACGTTTGGGGGAAGGGGGGGGGGGGGCAGCGGGCCGAGGGGGCGGGGGGAGTGGGGAGCAGTGGTTTGAAGAGGCGCGGGTGGAGGGCGGGGCTGTGTTGAAGGCGTAGTGGGAGGGGGGACAGCGCGGGTGTGGGCAGGGTGGGGGGGCGGGCGGGCTGGGGCTTGAAGGCGAAGGTTTCAAGGCGCAAATTGGGAGGGCGGGTTTGATTTGGGCACAAGGAGGGCGGGGGGGGCGGCGGGGAAGGTTTTGAAGGCGTAGGGGCGGGGATGGCGGGGGGATTGAAGGCGTAGTGGGAGGAACCTGTCGGGATTTCACAAACGCCGACAGCGGGGTCGGCGGATAGAGAGGCAAGGCGGCCACGGCTGAATGACAAGCAGACCCAGACTAGGATAGCCTAAAAAAGACGCGCGCTACACGCCATTCGTCCGCGGGCCACAGTTCGTAGAACGGTTTAAAAGTGCTCGCGCTCGATGAGTGTGCTCATTCTGCTCGCCCGGGCACAACAACGCCGGCAGCAACAGCAATAACAACAGCAACCGACAACCACAGCGACAACCGCAGCGATGGCGACGGCGACAACAAAAACAACAAGAATGACCACGACCACGACGGCGACGGCGACGGTGGCGGCGGCGACGGCGACGGCCACGACGACGACGACGGCCACGACGACGACGACGACGACGACGACGACGACGACGACGACGACGACGACGACGACGACGACGACGACGACGACGGCCACGACGACGACGACGACGACGACGACGACGACGACGACGACGACGACGACGACGACGACGACGACGACGACGGCCACGACGACGACGACGACGACGACGACGACGACGACGACGACGACGACGACGACGACGACGACGACGACGACGACGACGACGACGACGTTCAAGACGCTGTGATGACGCTGCACGCTTGCGATGGCTTGCAAGATCTTGCAAGGGTGGGATGTGCGGATTTGGGTCAAGTGCTAGCCCATGCTAGCCCCGAAAATCTCAAGACGAGAGTCCTTGGCTACGCATCCGGGGTGTCCCTTGGTCATGGGCAATCGCATCGTAGAATGTCGGTTTTGTCTCTGAGTCATGGAACTGCGAGCTGTGCGAAGAAGTTGCTTCCGAAAGGATGCCTTGCGTCGGAACACGGAGCGCCGCGAGTCGCGGCCTCTCTGGAGACATCGCTTCTGGCTGTTGCTGCAGTTTTCAGAAACTGCTGTGTCGCCAAGTCTATCATCAGCGCCGTTCGCAAAAAACATGTTAAGCCAACGGCGTATCCGGCTAGTGTAAGCTTCGTTGAAGCAGCTTGTTGTGCTGATTTTGCGTTGTGGCGTGTTGTCTTTGTACCATCTCTGAGGCCTATTGTCTTCCACGTCATGAGCCACGCTCTTATATGGAATGAATATGAGCGAGCGGGGTGGGGGGGTAGAAAATCCAGCCGCTTCTGGCTCCACTCTCGCTTTGTCTCGTCTTGGTGAATGCCTCATATGCTGTTGCCAGAGACCCCCCCTAAGCCCAAGCCCCGGACCCTTCAAGGACGGCCTGCGTCCCAGTCCATGTGCTGGCCTTAGGCAGTGAGGCAGTCTCAAACAATCTCAAGCATCTCACCTGACAATTGAGAGTTCAGCATACCACTGTGAATTGAAGCTGAGAATCAGTGAGAGCACGCAGTTCTGCTGACAATTCTCTGCGTTCTGAGAGGTCAGCGCCCACAGTGCCGCAGCAGCCGCAGCATGTGCCGCAGCATGCGCCACAGCATGCGCCACAGCACCACATGGCAGCCCCAACCGCGGTGCCTGGCTCTGGTGGCGAGCCTGGCCCAGGCCCCTCAATGCGGCCTCCTCAGAGCTTGTCTCAATATGTGCCTTTTTTTGGAGCCTGAAAAGGCTTGAAAAAGCGCCTTTTCACACTCTGGGTTGTGCCTAGACTTCGCACTTAGCACGCTCCGACATTTTTGACCTGGCCCCTTCGCTCTCTTCTGGAAGACCAAGCTAGTTCACTATTGAGGCAAGACCTGCCGGGATCGGATGAGAACGGGGACACTGAGATAAAGTACTCTTGGCACCCCAGCAGCACTCACGTAACAGAACAGCTTCACAGGACCTGCGAGGATCCTGGGTGTATGGCGACAAGTACACAGCACGGGCCTCGGTTTGGGAGAGTCTCGGAGGCGGAGAGATCAGAGAGACAGGGCATCTTCCCAAAACCTGACCTGGCAGCTGATGTCGCAGCATATTATCGCAGCATATCATCGCAGCATGTCGCGAGTCTGGCCCTGGCAGCAACATATGAGGATGACCTTTACACGTACGTGATCCGACAAGTGCGCGCCTTATGCTTGAATATGAAAGGGCCGCCTCACGCCAGCAACTATGCGAGACTGCCACTAGACTTCTTGAATTCTTGAATTCTTGAATCGTTTGGGATGAGGTTGGCCCTGAGATGTGCTGGAAACTGAGCAGGGCGTGAGAATCGTGAGCACGGCAAGACAAACTGCCTTGGCATTTGCTTGTGAGGTTTCGAGCAGACGCTGCCCAATCGAGAGAAGGCCGAGCTGTACTGACCGGTGTAGACGTCTGAATTCTCGATCGCCCCGTTCAGATCACCGGGATGCTGGTTCATGATGGAATGTGGCTCAGGAGACATCTCTCTCTTTCTCTCAGCCAGCTCTGCTTACAGTTTTCCAGCGAGGAGCAACTTGCAGAGCAAGGAGGGCTTCTACGGCGAGCTCCGCATGCAATATGACCCCGAGGAAAAGGTGTGCAACAGTACTCCACTCTGTTTTAATCTGTGGGTTAATCTGAGAATGTTTACAGAAGCCATGTTCGTTGAGATGGGAAGATGGCCTGAGGCTCGTCTGGCTTGAAGCTCAATTTTGAAGCTCTCGGAAGGTGCTGGTCTCACAGCTGAAGAGAAAGGATGAGACTAAATGGAGCAGTGACATACTGGCCAGACGCGCCCCGCCCTCAGCTGCTGTTTGTGGCTGGTGCTGTGCAGGCCCAAGGCCGGCAGGGCTTTTTGTTTCAGGATGCAGGGTGTCTCGTGGGTTTTTGCAGTTTCTGCATCCAACCTGGTCCCACCTCGATGCGTGTGACGATGTGATCATCTTGCCCAAGCGCAAGTCCTTCGCAACCTCGGTGGCTGTCTGTCCTTCGTTGGCATCATCAAGGCTGCGCAAAAATGGTCCAAGCATCGTTGGCAACCCCGTGGATGTATTCGTCGAGTTTGTCTTGGCGGTGTTGTCACTGTCATCGAATTTCTCTCTTGGGTGTGGGCACTGTGTCTTTTGTAGAGCGGCATGCGCTAAGGCAGGATCGGGTGGTCGGGCCTGATCTGAGGCTGGTGTGCTGATTTTGGGCAGCTTAGAAAGTTCCTCCCCGACTTGAGTGGAGGTGGACTTTTGCGCAATTGACATCCGCAGCCGTTCATCTGGCGCCATCCTCTCAAACCAGTTGTAGTGATGGAATGACTGAAAGAAACAGAGGGCTTTTAACAGAGGACTTAAAGAGAGAGGCTTTTCTCTGAGATTCTGAGAGGGTGAGTATTGAGTTAGATGTGAGTTAGGATGAGATGTGATGTTGGAGCCCAAGCTCGAGGCTCCCTTTTGCTCTCACGGGAGAGCCGACACTCGCATAACGCGAGTTGCTCCCACTCTGCACATCATCCGTGCTTCTTACGGTGTTTCTCCGGCTTCTCCGGCTTCTCCGGCTTCTCCCTGTCGCAGCGCAGATGACTCGGGTGATTCCGCACGCACAAGCCATGAAGTCTCTTCACTCAGAGCCTTCTCATGGTCCTTCTCCTTCTCTTCGTGCTCTTCTTTTGCTCTGTCCGCTCTCGCTTTCGCATGCGATCATGGTACTGGCTCCCGGGTGGGCAAGAGAAGACGGAGATTTCGGACATGGAGGGCTGGAGCAGCTGGAGCAGCTGGAGCAGCTGGAGGAGACAGAGCAGCCCGAACAGCCAGAAGCGCTGAAGGCGGCGCTGAAGGCGGCGCTGAAAGCCGTGGAATCTTGAGATCCGTGGACGATCTGCCAAAGCCCACTGCTTTGGGAATTGAGCTCCGGGCAAGCTCTGCTGTCGCAGCCCCCATCTCTGCGACTGATGGTTCATTTAAACAGCCGTTGCTGCGTGTGCACCATTCATTGGACCCGACAGATGTGATTGGGAACCAGCGCGCCGTGGCTGCAACTCTGCTGCAAAGACAAAAGCCAGAGAAAGGGCTTCTTTGGAAAGAGGGGGGGGGGGGGGCATACATTGGGGAGAGCCGCCCACATCCCCCCGCAAGGCATCATTGAAGGAAGCTTGAAGGCCTGTCTAAGCTATACAAAACTCGCCCTTACGACACCTCAGTCCATGAACATGAGCCGCTTATCAGAGACACTTGCCTCGAATCATCCCGGATCTCGAGTTCGAATAGCTTTGACGAGTAAGGCGAGCCTGCAAGAACTGGTGGCCCACTTCAAGTGGAAGGGGGTTGTTGGCTGCAGCATAACCAAGAAATCCTGCGAGATGTTGGGCGTGGAGGCTTCCTCTTTTGAGGCAATGGAGGCCGGTGCAGGAAAGCTCCTGGCGAAAGCTTTGCATGGCAAGGCTTCGTTTGTTCATAGCATGGTTCACACCACAGCAGCAGGCTACAACGACTTGATTTGGGGGAGAAGTGCCCAAGAGCAACTGTGGCGCAGACACGTCGTTTTGGTAGCCACTTTAGGCCAGAATCTTGGGGCCGTGGTCTTCAGCGATGGCAAGAGGGTGCGACATGCCGAATGGTGCCAGCCTGCACCGCCCCGACCGGCCGAGTTGGCCGAGTTGGCCGAGCCGGCCGAGCCGGCCGAGCCGGCCGAGCCGGCCGAGCCGGCCGAGGAGATGGAGGGAGACGCCTCAGACTCAGACTGCTGCCCTCCACAACTTCTGGGGCTGTCTGGGCTCTCCGGACTCCCTGAGGAGTGGGCGGAATGGGCTGCAGCCGTGGATTTCCAACTCAAGGACCTCCTCTTCTCCGTGCCAACCCTCGACCAGCTCCTCATCTTCCCCACCGGGCGGAGCCAAGTCCTAGAAGACCTGAGGCTCGAGCAGAAAGAAGCCCCCTCCACCCAACCTCCACACCCACACCCCCACACCCACATCCCCATACCCACACACACCCACCCCGCCACCGCGAGGTCGAGCCTGCCGCAGACGCTGGAGGCCGCGGCGCAGAAGGGCTGCTCAGTGCAGGTCGCTCAGAGCGAAGGCTCGCTTGTGCGGGGGGCGGCAACCTGCGCGCTGATGGAACTGGAGGCCGACTCGACTTGATGACTGAGAGAGTCGACAGGGGGGGGGCATGAGCAGTTAGTGTTTAGTCTTCGTGGTACGATGTGGTAAGTGTGGTTGCCTTGGCTTGTCTTCTGTTGCTGTTCTGAAGCGGCGATCTCATTCCTCGGTGCCTTTTTTCCGAGGCGGTGCAGATGCTAAGCCAGCTGCGGGAAGTTTTGTCCCAGAAGAGATCGCTCCAGAGCCTCTCCGATCAGCAGCTCCGCGACATCTTCGACCGGCCCCCTAGCTGCGAATGCCCTGTCAGAATGAGAACAGCATAAGAGAAAATTCACAACGCGTGCTTTTTCATACGCAAACAAGTTGGTCATAAAGTTGGCTCTTTAAAGGCTAGACACGGATGGAGATGGAGTCCTGGACGTGGTCGAGCTGCAGAAGGGGCTCGAGATGCTTGGAGTACAGCGAGACATGACATCACTCTTGGCTGAGCTGGGCACGGAAGCCTCCGAAGGCGAAGGGCCCCACCAACTCCAGCGGCCACCTGGGCCTGTGAAGCCTGTGAAGCCTGTGAAGCCTGTGAAGCCTGTGAAAGTGGAGAACTTCATGTCCTGGTGGCTTCAGAATGTGCGGAGCGCGCGCATTGTGACGCTCAGCAGCTCACAAGCTTGGACGGATTTGCTGCAGATGGATCCACCCGACGGCTTTGGGCCTCTGATCTTGCTGGAGGCCGGAGGGGTGGGGGGGGCCATAGAGTAGACTTCTGAGAAAGCCTTGCGGGGGCCGGGGGCGGCCGGAATGCCGGAAGGCTCCCCATTGAAAAGCACAAAATGAGATTCAAAGGTCACTTTCACCTTCTGCCGGGCCTGCCGGGCCTTCGAGCCCAAGTTTCGGAAGCTCGCCGAAGCGTATCCCAGAGTTCGCTTCGTGCAGCTCATCGGCAACGGGACCATCGGCGCCATGGACCTCGTGCAGGAGGACACCGGACACATACACTCACTGTCACTCACTTTCTTTCCTTCTCCGAAGTTGTGCTCCAGCTTCCTTTCTCTCCGCGGGGGCCGCTGGCAGCAGCGACGCTGACGATGAGTGTTGGCTGCGTCGAGGACAGATGAAAAATGGAGATGCCCGAGGCGTTTCGTGGGCGCATTCCGTGGTTCAAATGTGTGGTGCGGAGACAACGGCAGCAGAGAAACAAAAGCAAAACGGTCAAGCTCCACAAGGTGCAGCAAAACACCGCGGCGCGTGCAGCCGTTCTGAACGAGAGAGGTGCGCTCGGCAATTGAAGCCTCCGAACAACACCACCCCTCTTGAGCCCTGGGTCCGGCAACCCTGAGAGGTGCACTAACATCAACGCTGTAAAATGGCTTTGTTTAAGCATGCCCTGACCGATTCGACCCGATCCACATCAGTTCGATTCGACTTTGTTGCGATGCGATTTCTCGATGCCCCCGCCTCCACCTCCCACTTTTCCCTTGAAATAGTATTGCAGAGTACAAGTCCATGTCCACTATGTCCAGTCAATCCAACGCAAGAATTGCGCCATGCAGCTGCGCATAGGCGTTGCTCCGCAGGAGCTCAAATGCAAGAAGTCGCCCAGCTTCTTCATCTTCAAGCGTGGTGGTGAGATGCTTGATAGATGGGACGGTGCTGATGCAGACAGGTGGGGGACACATGCCTCACGCAATTATTGGCAGGCGTGTTACTGTGGGCTTAGAAAATGACGAAGACATGTCCTGTTAGTCTATTTCAGATGCCTGCCATTGGGACAGGCTGGAAGAGCACTTATCTTCCTTTTCTGCTGGTGAGTGACGCTGGGCACATCTCAGCTCATTTCGAGCGCAGAACTTGAGCCTTTCAGCAGCCTCCCCGTGCGAAGTCTCCGTGCGAAGTCTGTGTGAGAAGTCTGAGTGCGAAGCGGGAAGCGCAGCGCAAGGAGGCCAAACGTGGACCAGCTCAGGATGCCTTCGACAAGAGTGCTTGTAGCTGAAAAAGACAAAGCGTGTGCCACCTCTCGAGGTTTGGGTCACACATGGAGTGTGCACCTGTGTGTCAGGTCTTGCACTGGTGAGGATTCTGGATGAGCTTCAAAGAAGCGTCTGCAAGAAAGGCGGAGCGTTCTCAAGACACGTCGACCAAGAGCTGCCGCTTGCTATTTCCACGGGTTCGCAGGCTGTCGACGTTGTTTTCAGCTCAGACCCAATAATGACTGTAATGGTCCTCACAGATTCAGTCAGATTTGATGCTTCTGCAGCCTGCCGTACGTACAAAGCACCGTCAAGCCATTGCCCCGTGGTCCGTGGTCCTGCAGAGGTTGCTCCTCACATCGTTATAAGTTACCCAAAGGCTCAGCGCCGCTGAGAGCCCTTCTTGTCTCGCAATACACAAAACCAAGCAGACTAAAGAGAGAGCAGAGAGCCGAGAGCTCTGCGTGCCTAGAGTGTTGCCATGGCCGCCACGAACGATGAACGCCAGGAGGAGAGCCCTCCGCGCAGCGCCAAAGGCACTTATCACACTCCCCAGTTGCCGCGTGGCACTGCAGCCGGCAGCCCGCGCAGCCCGCGCTTCGTCGGCCCCTGGAAGGAATAAGTCTCCTCTCTCTCTCTCTCTCTCTCTCGCTGCCTTCATCTCAGCTTGTTTCGTGTCAATGAGTGCACATCTCGTGCTGGTGAGGGCGAGGGAGACGAGGGACAGACAGGGACAGGGAGAGGAGAGGGACAAGGAGAGGTTTCAGCATTTGTGCATGCTTCTCGGCAAAATCACAGAAGAGCGTTCTGTAGACCGAGGCCGCAAGCCAGCGCCGGACCGCGCCGCGAGCGCCGCGAGCGTCGGGAGTGTCGGGAGCGCCGAGAGCACCGAGAGCACCCGGGACACGTTGCAGGACACGCGACACTCAGACTCAGTGACTCAGTGGACATGCTCTGCCCAAGTATGTACTGGCATCCCGGTGCGAACATTCCGGGAGCAAACGATGCCGTTAAGTTCCAGATCCGGGGCCAGTTCCCCCGCGAAATGAAGACATGACTTTTGCGCTGCTTGTCCAATGCGTGTCCATCCCCTCAAATTTCCACAGGCTGCATTGGCTTCGCCCCGTCACTCGCGTCCTCTGCATCTTTGCACTAACTGAAAAGGACCCAGACTTGGATGTGGGCTCAATGCCCGGTGTCCCGCCGCCCCGCAGTTTCCAGGCTCCGCCGCTTGGAAGCAAAGCAGCAGAGAATGCAAAATAGACTTGAGCCCCGCGTTGAACTTCAGTGTAAATACAGCGAGAGGCGAGAGTTGACAATGAAGAGACCTCGAAGCTGAGGCCAGGCTCCAAAGTCAAGCCCAAGAAGATCCTGTCGCCGGAAACCCGTTTCCTGTTCCCAAGTCTTATGTCATCTTATGTCCGTTTGTTACAATTGTTTGAAAGCTGTTAAAGCCTGCTTTGGTGGTATTCTGTGCCTTCTGTGTGTTCTGAGGCCCATCCACTACTACTTGTCCCGCTCCCGCAAACCCTTTTGGGGCCAGCGCCCTGGGCTCATCCGGGCCATGCTCCGCGCAAGGCCCTGCGAGGGGCATGCAGTTCTCTGCAGGCTAAGAATAGCTCTGCTGTTTCTAGCTCAGGTTCGGAAGACCTTGCCTTAACCCGGCCGCCTGCAACCCAGAGCCAGAGTGAGGAGTCCCATCAACAGTCCCGCGCGTCAAGAGTCCTGTCCATTTAAACGTGGCACCGCTCGGCTTTAGTAAGGGGATTCAAGCTGTCTTGAAGAGGGAGACGCTTGGCTTGGCGAGTAAGGCCGCGGATCTACGTGGACCAGCCGGCCCCTCAGCGAACTCTCAAGTGCACTCAGTCGGCGCTGCTGCGCCAGTGAGGATCGTGCTGTGACAGCTGACTTCGTCGGCTTCTCTTGCTAATCTTTTTCGCCTGGCATGCTAAGCAGGAGGGTGGCTTCAACGGTTGAGCACATCAACCCAAAGCAGCGCTCTCTCTCTCTCTCTTTCTCTTTCTCTCTCCCTCTCTTTCTCTCCCTCTTTCTCTTTCCTCTCTCTCTCTATCTTTCTTTCCTCTTTGCTCTTTCTCTTTCTCTCTGCCCAGAATCTTTCGCAAAAAGTCGCTCGCACACGCACACGCACACGCACACGCACGCCCACACGCACACGCACGCCCACACGCCCACACGCCCACACGCCCACACGCCCACACGCCCATACGCCCACACGCCCACACGCCCACACGCCCACACGCACACACGCCCACACGCCCACACGCCCACACGCCCACACGCACACACGCCCACACACCCACACCCACGCACACACCCACACCCACACACACACCCACACCCACACACCCACACACCCACACACCCACACACACACCCACACCCACACACCCACACACCCACACACCCACACACACACACACACACACACACACACACACACTCTTACACACTTACACACACACACACACACTTTTACACACTTCTCTGCGAGAGTCCGAGAGCACAGAGGTGTGAACATCTGTGCCTTCGAGACTCGACCGACACATCGCCTCCCCCGAGTGCCCCACAGACTCGATGAAAAAGAAGAGTCCGAGACCACAAAGCATGAGAAACAGAAAGAGCACAGAGAGCACAGATTGCGCAGGTTGAGAGCTTGCGTGAGAGAACTCAGAGTATTGAAAGGAGGAGAGGCTGAGAAGAGAACAGAAGAGAATGAATTCATTGAATTCATTGTCACTCCACGGGTAACTTTTCAGCTGCGGATGCCAAGGAAGTCGGTCTTTCGGGAGATCGCGTCCGTGACCCAGCTCCGGCGCCGGCGGCCGAGTGCAAAAAGAGATCCTCCCTCTTCCTTTGCAACATTGCAAACGACAGCTTCGCAAGATTTCGCAAGTGGTTTCTCTCCCTCGCAAGTGAAAGTGGCTACTTGTTTTCTGTTTTCTGCCGCTTGGCTTTCCGGTTTGTTCTAGGCGGGGACCACTGCATGATCACCTTGAACGTGCTGCGGTGCTTGAGCCCATGGGTCGACTACCTGGAGCCCCGGCAGAAAGGCAGAAAGTAACACGATGTAACACGCATTCACCGTGGCTATAGGCGGGTATTGCATCCACGAGCATCATCGTGCGCAGCTTCTTCTGCGCCATAACGAACTGAGACTGAGGTGAGCCTCATGGGTTCTTTGGAGCTCTTCCACCTCTATCACCACTTCGTGGCTTGGCCGATCTCCCACAGAAGCCAAAGCATGCCCTACAGGGGCCCTACAAGGCTATTCAGGCGATTCGCATTCTCTTCGAAGCGGCGCGACCGTGCACAAGATAGCTAAATCATCAAGCAGCCTGGTGAGAGCACTCAGAGCACACATGCCCCTTCACAAGCTTTTTCCGTTCAGCTCAAGGGGGACAAATCGAACAAATTCTCCCAGCAGGTTATCCTCGATGACGCCCGGCTCCCAAGAAGCGGCGCCATACAACACCGTGCCAATCCGTGCCATGTGCACTGTCCATACTGTAGCACTGTCCTCTCGTTGTGGGACGAGTTTTATGTTGCACATGTCACATGCTCGAGAGTGATTCTCCCCTGGGACCTGAAGATTTCAACATCAACAAAGTTCCCTGCCGTGGGGCGGAGGTGGACCACGTCGACGACTTCGGTGTTCCAAGAACAGCTCAGGCGCGTGGTGTGTGCCGTGTGTGCCGTGTGTGCCGTGTCTTCATCTGTTGGCTGATAGCGAGAGAGAGCCCGAGGATGACATCGTCAACATCATGGAGTACTCGAACACGGTGGAAGGCACAGGGCTTTCTTTTCTGAGGGAGTGTGTCGGAGTGGCCAAAGAGCGGGGGGGGGGGGGGTGGAAGAGAAAGTTTCAAAAACGATTCTTTCCGTGAGAAGGTTGGGTCTGGGCTTCTCATGTGCTGAGTACTCGCGCTCTCGGGGATTGCTGCATGCTCTCACGCGCTTGTGCTGGCACGTTGCGGGGTCTTGGGGTGCTTATGGGTGCTTCACTAGGCTTCGTCGAAGAAGTGCGCTCAGATCCAAGCATCTTTGTTGCCACTTGCATCTCGTGGCGTCGGTGCAACTTCGTACCAACGGAAAGGACGGCATGAACAATGTGGATTCAAAGCTAAGGTGTCAAGACTTTTGGGGCATGGTGCTCACTGCCAAAAGTCTTCGTCGAAACCATCCTCAACAAGGCATCGCAAGCATCAGGCGTCAACAATCGAAGCGTCATGCACAGAGCAGACACTCTTGCAGATCGTCATTATGGAGGTAGTGTCGTCACTACGATAGTGGGCCGAAGTCTCTGCTGAAAGTTCTTGCAAGGCCCACTGTCACCGAGTTCCGTTGGCGGACTATGGGGACATGCCGCACATCTTCCGCATGGAGGAGACATTTACCTACCTTTCACCCAGGGCTCCGGACTGTCTGGGAGACGCACCATAAACGACACTCCAGTTGTGGCACAAAAGTTCGTGACGTCTCTCTCCTTTTCTCCAGAGTGCGGACTCTTGCTTTGAGACTCCTCCACTCAAAAGGAGAAGCTGACGCAGGAGCCTTTGCCCTCAGCATCAGTTACCTACCTGACAGCTTTTTGCAGCAGTGCATTGAGACAGGTGTTGCTTTTTGCTTGAATAGCAGAGGCAGCGCGAGCGCATCGTCCGCGACGCCGTGAACTTGATTGTCGGGCCCCCACCAATTTTGGACAACAGCGCGGTTGGATTGTATGGTAACTCCACGTTGTCGTTTCACGTTGTCGTTTGGGGGCAGAGGATAACCAGATCAACTACAACATTTTGTGGGCCAACTGCGAGCACACCACAAACTTGGCCAGCAGCTCAGAGCGGCAGAGGGCCTCGGCGCACTTCCTGTGCACTTCAGTGACAGCATTGACTCTTTGCGTTTCACAAAGCAGGTGTCAGGAAAGCAACAGTACACTTCTCCTGAAGTACACTTCTGCATCTGGCCGTGGCCCTACAACCAACATGTTCCAGTGGCCATTCAAGAGTTAACAAGAACTTGCAGCCCAAAACGGCATGATGGCTGCTGTGGCTGGTTGCGAAAACTTCCAAGACCGTAAGAGCCGATGAGAGCATATTTTGCAACATGACCATCAAGCGGTGACAGTTCCACAAAGAAAGACAAGGTAGAAAAGGCAGCGAGAGAGGAAGGTGAAGCGGCCCCCGGCCCCTCCCCCCCGCCGCCCCCGCCCCAACCCGGCCCAATTCTCCTGGAAAGAGACTCGTTAAGGAGCATTGTGCGCTATGCCCTGACAGTCTTGGGTTTGGCAACCCTGCACGCTGGGACCCTTACTTTCCTGACACGGCTTTGCTAGACGTTGCATGCGCTGCTGTGAGGTAGTGACGATGAAATGCTACAGCAGATACTGCCTGCACTATCCTTTCTGGGTGGGGGAGGGGGCGGGTCTTGCCTTGTGGATTGGCACAACCAAGTTCGACCATTGAGTCTTTCTTTTCTGCCAGGCGTTGGCTGCTTATTACTCTTGCACCGTCCCGGCCTCAGAACGTCTGAAAGTCTGAAACCGAGGTTTGAGACAAGTCGAAGTTTCACCCAAGGCTTTGCCAGTCTTGGCCCAGATTCTCGTCCAATTTGGGCGCATGGCGTGTCTTGGGCCAATCAGAAATGCAACCTCCTACACATGCTCCGACACATTCTCCAGCATGTCTTGGTCTATCATGGCGTTGGCGGCAGTAGCTGCGCGACGCTGTTTGGCTCCTCGAAAGGCACACGGTGGCCACGTCCTGGCGCAAGAGCCTGATTTCTAGGAGTGATGTCTACCACTTGCTGGTGAAGGACATGGGATCATGTGGGGTGGGGCCCGGGTGCGGTGTGGGGGGGTGCGGTGTGTGGGGGGGGGGGTGGGGGGTGGGGGGGGGGGGGTGGGGGGGGTCGAGAGATCGCCGGCCAGGAGCTGTGCCGTGCCATCTTCAACGGAGCGCTCGCAGTGGGGTTTCTGGTGCTTGGCTCTCAGCAAGTGCCCTCTCTCAGCAGGCTCTTAAAAGAACATATCATAAATATATGAGATTGAGTTTGAAGACTGTTGAGATCGTGATCGATTCTTGTATGTTGCCCTCGCACTGTTTGCTTTGCAGGTGGGCTCCGGAGATGCTAAAGCTTGCAGATGGCAGGCAGGCGCCTTTTTGTTGTTAAAGCCGCGAGATAACAAGCAAAACGTCAACAGCTAGAATCATAGTAACCATCGAGAATAGCCGATCTCTAAAGGTATCCGGTTCGGATCTCCGTCGCCATTGTCTTTGCGTACCTTGTCCGGCCCCGAGAAGACGCGACCTGCTTCAGGGGGTGACCGGGTAGAGGGCTGAGCTTTGAGACTCACTCAACTCGCTCAGGCCAGCGATGCTGCTTTCGCGTTGCTCGCCCAGGCATCGGCCGCAACTTTACCTCTTGTTCTTTTTTTTTATCCCGAAGACGCAACTTCTCACCCTCTGCACGTGGGTTCTCGTTTACCGCGGAAGGCGCGGCAAGGAAGAGACGGGAGGGGTGGAGCGGGCAGAGGTCAATGAAGGAGAGAGGAGAGGTCGCGGGCAGGTTGATGAGTTTGACGGGGAGGGTGTACGGGACTGCGAAGTTGACCGGGGGGGGCGGGGGGTGCGCGAGAGAGGCGTGTTGGGAGGGGAGCACGATACATCGAGTTGCCGGAGGGAGGGCACGGAGGGGACATCAATTCCCCGCCCCTCTTTCACCCTCCCCTCCCTCCCCTTCCCCCTTCCCTCCCTCTTGCTGACGGAGAGGGACGGAGAGGGATACAGGTTTGGGGATTCTTTGGGATTGGGAGGGGCCGGCAGGTGCCCTCTTCTCTCTTTCCAAAGTGCTCTCTCCATAGGCCATTTGGACTGAGGGTGTGCACATATCAAGGAGAGAGAGGCCTGTGCCTTTCTCTGTCTCTCAGCTCAGAAGTGTAGGGAACCTCTGAACAGTTAAACAGCTGAGTGCGCTGAGCAAGAGCTCACTACCCTCTGTTAACCGGATGTCGCGCCCTTAAGACTACGCCTCAGGGTTGTCCCATGCGCGCCCGTATGTGGCATCATTGTTCGCGGTTGGGTTTTCGGGTTCCCGACTTGATTGAGCTTGCTGTTTCTGATCTTTCGCACAGAAGATGTGCCCCTGCGAGAATGCTGCCACGCGAGGTTGCGACGCGGATTCTAGTCCAAACCCGTGGCCATTTTTGGCTGATCGGCGGCAGCGATCACACGCGCAGCCAGCATGTTTTGCTTTGAGCTCGTGCTTTGAGCTCGTGCCCTGACCCTCTCCCTTTCTCCCTTTCTCCCTTTCTCCCTTTCTCCCTTTCTCCCTTTCTCCCTTTCTCCCTTTCTCCCTTTCTCCCTTTCTCCCTTTCTCCCTTTCTCCCTTTCTCCCTTTCTCCCTTTCTCCCTTTCTCCCCTCCCTTTCTCCCTTTCTCCCTTTCTCCCTTTCTCCCTTTCTCCCTTTCTCCCTTTCTCCCTTTCTCCCTTTCTCCCTTTCTCCCTTTCTCCCTTTCTCCCTTTCTCCCTTTCTCCCTTTTCTCCCTTTCTCCCTTTCTCCCTTTCTCCCTTTCTCCCTTTCTCCCTTTCTCCCTTTCTCCCTTTCTCCCTTTCTCCCTTTCTCCCTTTCTCCCTTTCTCCCTTTCTCCCTTTCTCCCTTTCTCCCTTTCTCCCTTTCTCCCTTTCTCCCTTTCTCCCTTTCTCCCTCTCTCCCTTTCTCCCTTTCTCCCTTTCTCCCTTTCTCCCTTTCTCCCTTTCTCCCTTCTCTCCTTCTTTCTCCCTTCTTGTCCCTCCTTTCTTTCCCTCTCCTTTCTCCCTTTCTCCCTTCTCCCTTTCTCCCTTTCTCCCTTTCTCCCTTTCCTCTTTCTCTCTCTTTTCTCATCTTTCTCTCAGTTCTCTCCCTCTTTCCTTCCGATCTTTTCTCTCATCTTTCTTCTCAATCTTTCTCAGTCTTCCGCTTCTTTCTCAGCTCTTTCTCTCTCTTTCTCGTCTCTTTCTCTCTTTCCCCCCCTTCCGACTCTCTTTATCCTCTCTTTCTCTCTTTCTCTCTTCTCTCTTTCTCTCTTTCTCTCTTTCTCTCTTTCTCTCTTTCTCTCTTTCTCTCTTTCTCTCTTTCTCTCTTTCTCTCTTTCTCTCCTTCTCTCTTTCTCTCTTTCTCTCTTTCTCTCTTTCTCTCTTTCTCTCTTTCTCTCTTTCTCTTTCTCTCTTTCTCTCTTTCTCTCTCTCTCTCTCTCCCTCTCGTTCTCCCTCTCCCTCTCTCTCCCTCTCCCTCTCCCTCTCCCTCTGCCTCTGCCTCTCCCTCTCCCTCTCCCTCTCCCTCTCCCTCTCCCTCTACCTCTCCCTCTCCCTCTCCCTCTCCCTCTCCCTCTCCCCCTCCCTCTCTCTCTCTCTCTCTCTCTCTCTCTCTCTCTCTCTCTCTCTATCTGTGCTATGCAGGTGGGAGGAAGAACAGCTCCTCAAAGAAGAGGCTGCAGACTGAGATTTCTAGAGTGTGTTCTTGAGTTGAGGATGCACAACAGCCGCAGGCCAAGAGTAAGAGCAAGAGCAAAGCCGACTGAGTGCGTCTGCCGTGCGTCTGCAGTGCGTCTGCAGCGCGTCAGTGCGTTTGCATGCCTTTGGTTCCTGTTTCTTCGCGGCTCCAAGAGCTGCGAACTCCGGACAACCCACAACCCCTGACGTCTTCGAACAGGCCTCCGTTTTCCATTGTACAGATTGAGACTGGGCGCCTGCGGTATTATGCGGGGACATGGCATAGAGCGAGATGGCTTGGTCGCGGAGAGCGCAACCGCCATGAATGAAGAGAAGCGTGTTGCCGAGCAGTGACGAAATCATCTTGGACGTGCACAGCATTGTGTTTTTTGTCTCCTGGTCGGGGCAACAGCGGCAACAAATGGCAACAAGACCGCTTCTTGTTGCTAATCATTTAATTCTTCTGCTCTGTGTAGTCTCACCGCTCTGTACCGCAGCTGCCATTGCTGGCAGCCCAGCCGAAAAGCAGACAAGGGTCTTGCAGTTTTGCAGAGCTCGGAAAAAGGCTTTCCAAAATCTTCTGAAGACAAAACTGCTTGGATCTTCTCTCTGCGTTGGCTCGAATCGGCTGTGAGGGAAATTTTCAGAGAGGGGGACTTCGGGGGAGGCTCCAGTCCTTAAGGGACGAGACGAGGCGCGCCTCTTTGAAGCAAGTAGGGTGACGGAAGGTGCAGAACACGCATCACACATCCTGTCCGGCTTCTCGCAGCATGTCAAAATATTTCAGCTGAGGTGAGGGCCATAGGCGATGTCCAGGCCACATCGCATCGCAAAGCACAGCCAGCCGAAAGCGTGAAAGCGTCGCAAGGACGGAGAGCACATGACAGAGCTGGGCCAAAAGCCAAAGCCTCAGATCCAGAGCCGCAGCGAAAAATGGGAATCCTGGATATCCTGGCGGAGTGCTGGAGTTTCATGGTGGGAACTCAACATGTGCGGCTCTCCGAGTGGCCGGGTTTCGGCTACTTTTGTCTTCGGTCTCGGTAGCAACGACATCCATTTCGAGTTTCTGTCCCTGTCTGAGAACTTCTGTCTCTCAAGCATTCTCCAGCTCGTTGCAGCGGCCTCGGAGCTAGGACAGCTAGGAGCCTTGCAGTTCTTCTGTTGAGGACTCGAGTTTCGCCATGCAAAGACCCCTCCAAAACGATTTCGGCGTGGGCGACAAGGAGATCTCCAGGGAAGGTTCGGGAGCTCCCTCAACGCCACAGGACACGGGGCAAAGCTTCTTTGTGCGACAAGTCTACGAGTCTACTGCTGACAGCATTTGTACATGTCTATCAAACATGTCTTTGTCATAATTGGCGCGGTCTTTCTAATTCCCCGGCACGAGCGAGTGGAGACTCCGAGCGCGGACCGTCCAAGAAGAAACGAAAGCGTATCACGGCCGCAAACGCGTTCCTGCAGTGGAGCCGGTCTTCTTCAGCTTTTTTCTCGTTGCGACTAGGTGGTAGGTCTGAGCCGGGGTCGCTCGCTGCCAGCTCATTGTGCAAGCAAAAACCAGGGCTGCGTTGACCGATGTGGGACTTGGCGCGTGCAATCGCCAGGTGATGTTTTCGAACCATCCCCCGGAATCAATGGGTTGAAGAAATGGACGTCACAAAGCCTCTGGACTCGATTCCTCCGCCAAGCTGACCGTCATGTCAACAAAAGGGACTTTGCAGCTGAGGGCTGCGAAGTTCAAGAACCGCAACCTTCTGTGGCCAAGCCATCAAACCCGGGCTGTAGGGTTTTGGCGGCCGGTCGTCCTCCCTTAGCCTCTTACTCCGAAGCTGAGGCGATCTCGTCGAATCCTTGGCAAATCTCTGGGACCTCGACCACAATTCGACCCGGCCCGCGAAAGTTTGTTCGGGAGCCGATCCATTCCAACGCTTGTTGAGATGCAAGCCCTGGTAGAGGCTGCTTGTAGAGCTTCATGAAAACAGAAGTGCTGTGTAGGCCTAGATGCTATTGCAGCAGTGCGCTGTTTTGGAGTTACAAGGGCATTTAGAGCCTGCTCGCGCTGGGCTTTTTGGGGCTGCGGACCGGGGAGTCGGTGAGGCTCTCAAATTTCAATTAGTTTGTTCAGCATGTCTCCTTTGCAACAGCCGGGGGTTGTACTTGCGTTGTACACTAGAAAAGGTTATCAAGCGCACAGCTGGCGCTCAGCATGAGGAAACCTTGATCGAAGAGCCTCTTGTAGTCGGGCAGTTCGGAGGTGCATCAACGATCCCACGGCAGCTGCTTTTCCCGCAATGTCTTCGTACATGTTTCGCAAGCGTTGGTATGAGCTTGTACGTCAGTTTTCTTTGCAAGCTTTGCAATTCCTGCGTATTCCATTTTTCCATGCGGCTGGCAACCGATGGGAGCATGTGGCTACAGCACGTCTATGTATATGTTCAAGCGGTGGGGTTCAAGGGTGGGGTTCAAGTATTCTTGAGCCAACCTTTAGAGTCCGGATCATTCCGTAAGCTTCGTAAACCGAGTGTATGGGTGGGAGCGCCTTTCCTGTGAGAAAAGTGTGGGTCGGGCCGGGACGAAGCCCTGTTGAGAAACCGTAATTCGTTGCATGGCCGGAATTTCCCTACCGCGCCCGCTCCACTGCTCCACTGTCCTCACCCCAAACAACTCAGTAGGAAGTGTAGCAATGTGGCGAGGTAATCCTCCGCGTGATTTCTCACTTCGCTCGCAAAGAAGTGTCTCTTCTCTGCCCAGAGGAGCGAACTCCAAGGAGTCCGTTCAGAGCACCACGGAGTTTGCGGGTGCCGCGGAGCGCAGCTCCCCAGAGATCCCGAGAGAAGGGCAGTTTTGCAACGAGCCGTTTTTTTGAAGAGAGAAATCTCTCACACCAATGCACAATTGCGCACATGCAGTTTTGTAGCTTCATGCGCTTCTCTCTCTTTGTTTTTCTTTTTTCTTGTTTCTCGCTCTCTCTCTCTCTGTCGGTCTTTTGGTTCATTTGCTGTCTCTCCGTTTTTGGCGTTCGTCCTCTTGTTCAGTGAGGCCGGAGCCCTCGGCCAGCAAGGTGGAGATCCAAGGCGCGCAAGCTGACAACAGAGACTGCCTTAAGTGAAGAAGAGAGAGAGCGAGAGAGAGAGCTATAGAAAGAGCACAGACTGCGCCTCTCAGCTCTCTTGGCTTGTTAGAGGAAGTCGAAAGCTCGGAAGCCAAGGCCGGCAAGCTCGGTGACCTTTAGATCTTATTGGGACCTGGGGAAGGGATTGAGAGCAGAGGACCAGGTCGAGGCGTACAGTTCTGTTCAATCCCAAGCTGCGCGAGCCAAGTCGGCATCTTTGGTGCCCCAGCGGCCCTAGCGCCCATGCTGTGGGGAAACCGATAGTGCACGGTGCACCCACAGGCTCAGGACAGGTTCAAATTGCTTGTCAGCCAAAACCGGCTTTAGAGTCAACGGTGTTAACAGAGACACCATTTTGTCGTAAAATGTTTTCCGCCACTCCGCAGCACCAAGCCCCCCGATGAGTCCCCAAGCAGCCAGCGGTTCTCAAACTCACAGCCAGAACTGCCAAAAGCACGGAGCTTCGGCACTTTGCCACCGCCGGCAGGTGTTCCACCGACTCTATCGCGATGCATCCGCCAAGCAGGAGGCCGAAACGATTGCAGCGCGCAAAGTCTAGGTGTGACTTGCGAAGTTCGCGGCAAGCGTGCCATATTATACGTCGCTTTAAGATCCTGCAAGGCCTTGGCGCGGAGGATTCAAGAGCAAGAAAACGAGAAGCATGAGACCCCTGCTCGGGAGGCAGGGGGGCTTTTTGTACAATGTCGCAACCCTTGGCCGCCTTGGCCGCCTTGGCCAGTCGCTTCAGTCGCTTGAGTCGCTTGAGTCGCTTGAGGCGTCAGCGCAAAGAATACGTGAGATCAGTGAGCCGAGCGCTCAGCAGACAATCGGGCTGGAGTACACGAATGTCGAAGCGCCCCCAAAGCAGTACAGGCGCATGCACGCAGAGCTCAGGCTGTGCTCTCAGCATGAACATGGGAGGAACATGTGATGCTAAAGAGCAGGAAAAGACGCAACATACAAGCAAGGCGCAGCAACGGTGCCAAGGAAGCAGCCGTGCAAGCCGGCTTCGGAAGCGCCCAAGTCGCCAAGGTGGGAGAGAGGGCGAGAGGGAGAGAGGGCGAGAGGGAGGGAGGGAGGGGGAGAGGGGGAGAGGGGGAGGGGGAGAGGGGGAGGGGGAGGGGGAGAGGGAGAGGGAGACAGGGCTCGGAAAACGCATGTTCACACCGCATCCAAAAATGCATGTTCCAAGAATGCATATTCAAAAACGCATGTCCAAGAATGCATGTCCAAAAACTTCCATAAATGCATGTCCAAAAGTGCATGTGCAAGAACGCATGTTCCCAAACGCATGTCCAAAAATTATATGTTCCAAAACGCATGTCCAAAAATGCATATCCAAAATTGCATGTTCCAAAAAAGCATGTCAAAAACGGTCTGTTCTGAGAATGAGCTGGGGTTCTAGTGCTCGGAACCAGAGCTCGGAGGATGATGCTCGCTTGGCGGTGATACGTCGCGGGTGCTTGTGGTAAGGTTTTTGTCTTGGCACAACGCATGGCGCGTGGCGGTGGTATATCGCAGGTGCTTGTGGGAAGGTATTGTCTTGGCAAAATGCGTGGTGGTGATACTTCCCAGGTGTCTTGGCAAAACCAGTAGTTGTGATACTTCGCAGGTGCTTTTCGTAAGGTTTTTGTCCTGTCAAAACGCGTCGTGGTGATACTTCGCAGGTGCTTGTGGTACGTTTTTGTCTTGGCACAACGCGTGGCGCGTGGCGGTGATGCTTCGCAGGTGCTTGTGGCGAGGCTTTTTTGTTGGCAAGACGCGTTGCGGTGATACTTCACAGGTGCTTGTGGTACGGTTTTTGTCTTGGCACAACGCGTTGCGCGTGGCGGTGATTCTTCGCAGCTGCTTGTGGTAAGGGGTTCGTCTTGGCAAAACGCGTGGTGGTGATACTTCGCAGGTGCTCGTGGTAAGGTTTTTGTCTTGGCACAATGCGCGGCGCGTGGCGGTGATACTTCGCAGGTGCTTGTGGTAAGGTTTGTGTCTTGCAAAAGGCGTGGCGGTGATACTGTTCGGGTGCTTGTGGTAAGGTTTTGTCTTGGCAAAACGCGTGGCGCGTGGCGGTGATACTTCGCAGGTGCTTGTGGTAAGGTTTTTGTCTTGGCACAACGCGTGGCGCGTGGCGGTGATGCTTCGCAGGTGCTTGTGGTAAGGTTTGTGTCTTGCAAAAGGCGTGGCGGTGATACTGTTCGGGTGCTTGTGGTAAGGTTTTGTCTTGGCAAAACGCGTGGCGCGTGGCGGTGATACTTCGCAGGTGCTTGTGGTAAGGTTTTTGTCTTGGCACAACGCGTGGCGCGTGGCGGTGATGCTTCGCAGGTGCTTGTGGCATGGTTTTTTGTCTTGGCACAACACGGGGTGGTGATGCTTCGCAGGTGCTTGTGGTAAGGTTTTTGTCTTGGCTCGTGGCGGTGATACTTCGCAGGTGCTTGTGGTAAGTACGGTTTTGTCTTGGCGCGTGGCGGTGATGCTGCGCAGGTCATTGTGGTTAGGCTTTTGCCTTGGCAAAAAGGCGTGGCGGTTATAAATCGCAGGTGCTTGTGGTAAGGTTTTTGTCTTGGCACAACGCGTGGCGGAGATACTTCGCAGGTGCTTGTGCTAAGGTTGTTGCCTTAGCAAAGCGCGTGGCGGTGATACTTCGCAGGTGCTTGTGGTAAGGTTTTTGTCTTGGCACAACGCGTGGCGCGTGGCGGTGATACTTCGCAGGTGCTCGTGGTAAGGTTTTTGTTGTCTTGGCACAACACGGGGTGGTGATGCTTCGCAGGTGCTTGTGGTAAGGTTTTTGTCTTGGCAAGAGACGTGGCGGTGATTCTTCACAGGTGCTTGTGGTAAGGTGTCTTCGCAAAACGCGTGGCGGTGATCTTTGTAGGTGCTTGTGGTAAGGTTTTTGTCTTGGCCAACTTCGTGGTGGTGATACTTCGCAGGTGCTTGTTGTAAGGTTTTTGCCTTGGCAAAACCCGTGGCGGTGATACTTTGCAGGTAGTTGTGGTAAAGTTTCTTGTCTTGGCAAAGCGAGTGGCGGTGATACTTCGCAGGTGCTTGTGGTATGAGATGTTTTCTTGGCAAACCGCGTTGCGGTGATGCTTCACAGGTGCTTGCGGTGAGGCATTTGTCTTGGCAACAGGCGTGGCGGTGATACTTCTTAGGGGCTTGTGGCGAGGCTTTTGTGTTGGCAAGAAGCGTTGCGGTGATACTTCGCAGGTGCTTGTGGTAGGTTGTCTTCGCAAGACGCATGCTGCTGATACTTCGCAGGTACGTACGGTAAGGTTTTTTGGCTTGGCAAAACGCGTGGCGGTGATACTTCGCAGGTGCTTGTGGTAAGGTTTTTGTCTTGGCAATACGTGTGGCGGTGATACTTCGCAGGTGCTTGTGCACTTTCAAGTACAGCAAGCACAGCTTCATTGGTTGGTAAGGTTTTTGTCTTGGCGATACGCGTGGCGGTGATACTTCGCAAGTGCTGGTGGTAGGTTTTTGTCTTGAAAACGCATGCCGGTGATACTTCGCAGGGGCGTATGGTAAGGCTTTTTGGCTTGGCACAACGCGTGGCGGTAATACTTCGCAGGTGCTTGTGGTGCGGTTTTTGGCAAAACATGTGGTGGTGAATCTTCGCAGGTGCTTGTGGTAAGGTTTTTGTCTTGGCAAAACGCGTCGCGGTGATACTTCGCAGGTGCTTGTGGTACGGTTTTTGGCAAAACATGTGGTGGTGAATCTTCGCAGGTGCTTGTGGTAAGGTTTTTGTCTTGGCAAAACGCGTGGCGGTGATACTTCGCAGGATGTCGCAGGTGCTTGTGGCAAAGTTTTTGTCCTGGCAAACCGCGTGGCGGTGATACTTCGCGGGTGCTTGTGGCAAAGTTTTTGTCTTGGCAAACCGCGTGGCGGTGATACTTCGCTGGTGATCGTGGCGAGGTTTTGTTTTGGCACAACGCGTGGCGGTGCTACTTAGCAAGTGCTTGTGGTAAGGTTTTTGTCTTGGCACAACGCGTGGTGGTGATACTTCGCAGATGCTTGTGGTAATTGAGGATTTTGTCTTGGCACAACGCGTGGTGGTGATAAATCGCAGGTGCTTGTGGTAAGGTTTCTTGTCTTGGCACAACGCGTGGCGCGTAGCGTCGCAGGTGCTTGTGGTAAGGTTTCTGTCTTTGCAAAACGCGTGGCGGTAGTCTTTGTAGGTGCTTGTGGTAAGGTTTTGTCTTGGCAAAACGCGTGGCGGGTGATACTTCGATGGTAAGGTTTTTTCGTGACAAAACGTGTGCCGCTCGAAATGCTATGTTTCTGTCTATGTATCCTTTCATTGCTGTTCTTTTGCTACTGCATTTGCTGGCGGGACTTTGAGGTGTGGCTTTCATGATTACAACGACACTATTCAGGAGAGACTATGAGAGAACGTGTCTGTGTGAGTGTGCAGTGCTAGACATGTTCTTTCGGTCTGAGTTGCGATGCTAGGGCTAAAATGGTCCGTGCTCTTGTGGCCATTTTTGGGCTTACTAGACCCGAGAACGGGGGGAATTTCAAAGTGCCCACCCAACCCACCCTGGGGAAGTCAGCCTGCTCGCAGCAGATCGATCTCCGAGCTAGGCGAGTGGGATCCGTCCACCCAGAAAAAGAAGGTCCGTCCGGATGCTAGTGCATTGCATTGCGGTGTGCGCGGGAAAAAGCTACCCTTTGATGCTATTCCGTCTCGCACAAGTTTTGAGAGGATACCAGGTAGGAGGAGGCTAGTACTGCCGACCTCAGCCCCCCTTTTTGATCAACCGGGGAGGTGCTTGGGGATGTTGGAGGGAAGCCGTACCTTTGCATGGAGCTGCTACGTGGTGGCGACCTCGGCTCCGTGCTCTTCATGCATGGCCGCCTCAAAGAAGCCAACTTGGTGGTGATGGTCCGGCAGATGTGTGATGCCGTATGCCACTTGCACACCACTGGCTTGCTCCACCGAGACATAAAGCCTGACAATTTCGGGTTTATGTTTCCATGGACCCCTCGCTCTTCGCGCGATCCCTTCCTCAATCTTCTGGACTTTGGCGAGGCCATTTGGGCACCCGAAACCCACGTCTTGAAGCGGAAATGCGGGGCACGGCCATACATGTCGCCAGAAATGCTGGGAGGGGCCTACAACCATCGAACCGATGTGTGGTCCTTAGGAGTACTTTGTTTCTTCGCATTATATGGTTACGCACCATTTTCGGCCATGTTCAAAGTTGAGCTGGAGACAAAGATCCTTCGGGCCCCCATTTCGTGCTAAGCTCAGATTCATGGCATGCGCATTGTGTTTAGTCGATTCAAAACCCTGGCGTTTTCTGCAAATCTCTGCAAAGGCTGCCTCGCAAGTGCCGGGGATTCACGGTATCGCGGACAACTGTTCGCTTTGTGAGGGGCCTGTTGCAGCGAAAACCTACAAGAAGATGGAGTGCCAGCGAGGCACAAGTGGAGGCTCGACGCCTCCCACGATAATCAGCACAGGTCCTATGTACTTCAAGAAGGTTGGGTAAACCGTACCTGAGACAGTATGTTTATCAGTTTATCATAATCATACTAACAATGACTTACAAGTTTGTGCTTTCGTCATTCCTTCACGGGCCTATATTATGTTTAGTGAAACCACCTCACAATCTTCATTCGCGTGGCACATGAGCACTGCCTCATTGAAATCGTGGCGACCGCAGACTGTTGCTCCTCCTGAGCCGCGCAGGTGGGTTTCACAAATTGTTTCACCGAAGCTGGAAGCCTATAGCAAACTACAAAATCTGGTGCTTGTGGCGGCGACTGTTGCTGCTGTGAGAACATGCGTCCTCTCCGTGCTTTCCTATCAAATGCACCTGACTCACGTTTTGCATTGCAGCTTTTGGCTCCAGATTGTACCATGGGCCGTCGGTCAATCCTCAGCTCCCTGTGTAGGTGTGTTACCACCACTCGACCTGCGTCAAAACGAGACCTACTGATACAGACTCAGACCGGGGCCATGCCCGGATGCGAAAAGACCTGGAGTCGCTAGGGTAGGCGGACAAGAACATCATGCAGAAACCCCTGCGAGCAAAGTGCGCGGAGTGTTTTACATTGCGAGTAAGCTAGTGTACGTATCAGACCCTTGCTTCGCTGGGTTTCCTGCTCAGGGATCCAGAATTGTATGGCGGGGGGGGGGTCTTCAAGACATGGGAGCCCTGACACTGGCCTAAAGGACCTTGACCTAGTTGCCTCATGGGGCCCCCCTTGGCCTGCCGGGATCCTTCAGGACACGATTCCTCAGAATTCTTGGGGCGCGGCAATGTATTGAACCCCAACAAGTCATGAAGCCCAAGAAGCAATGAAGCTAGCTAGCGTGCGTGCATTGATGTCCACCTTATTCGAGTGAGATCCAGTGATGGAATTGATATGTATGCCGAAGCCGAACGCGAAGAACTTTCCAACATACATTTTGCAGCCCTTGTGGATTTTTCAGAGCATGCTGTATTCTTAAGTGGGAGGGGAGGTTTAAAATAATTAGGACCGGGTACGGAGACGGGAGGGAGAGAGGGAGAGGTAGAGAGGCAGAGGGAGAAGGGAAGAGGGAGAGGGAGAGGGACAGGAAGGAAAGAGCCAAGAGAGAGGAAGAGGCGGGTAGCGTGAACCAGGTGCATACCATCTGCCCCGATCTCGGGTGAACTCTGCGACGTCTGCAGATGCACTGTGCCTAGACATGGCCACTCACATCCTGAAGGAAATGAGCGAAGAACAAAGACACTTCATCCAGAAGCAGCACAAATGGCCCGTTTCCAAGAGCACAAGTTGCTGAGACGTTGCCGAAGTTGCGTGCTTTTGTTCCCTGTTGAAGCTTGAGAGCTTGAACCTCCAAGTCTACCCTGGCGTTACTCCAAAACAACACTTCTTTTTCTTGTTCGAAGAAGGCCCAAGCAGGCCAAGCTCGGCCCGAGGTTGCGTAACTCCGAACCGGGACTCAACGGTTAGACCGTGCAGCCTTGGGGAAAAATATGCGGAAGCAGGACGACCAAGGACGCAGCTTAAAGCTGGGGCACAACAAGCAGGAGGCGTTTCAGAGCGCAGCCAAGGCCGAAGCGCCAACTACACAGGGAGACTGCAGCAGCGAAGTGCAGCAAAAAGAGCACAACATAGTTTTGAGCACTTGCGCCAGAACCGCAGTTTAAGAGCCACTGCAGAGGCCCCTTGTTCTGCTGCCTCGACACTCGAGGGCCCTCGAGGAGGGGGCCACGCCCCCGCATACTTTGGCAACGAGGAGCCTGCGTTCTAAAGGTCAAAAAGCGAAGCAAACAGAGACGTGCTGGGGGAGGGAGAGGAAAGAGGGGTCAAGAAAGGTTTGGAAGGAAAGAAATGGAAAGAAGAGGGTGAAGAAGAGTGTGAAGCGAGCGCAAAGAAACAAGCGAGAACACAACAGCGACAACTATGAAAAGTCTGAAAAGTGCGAAAAGTGAAAGAGGAGGGGGGCATTTCGTGAGGGGCGCTTGAGGCCGCTTTTTCTCTGAGAGTTTCTCTCTCTCTCTCTCTCTCTCGCTCACGCTCTCTCTTCTTGTGGGTTGCTTCCGCATAGTTTGCATATGTTCGCTCACGCAGCCCGCAGAAAGATCAAAGAGCCACATAAAGCAGTCAGGAAAGAGCAGCGTGAGCGGCGCATGGAGGCCGGGGGGGTGGGGTGGGGGGTGGCGGGGGGACCTTGAAGAGGGTGCCTAGACGAAGTTTGTCCCTTTTCTCGCTTCTTCGGGAGTCAGTCACTCTCTCTCTCTCTCTCTCTCTCTCTCGCTTTTTGAGCTCTCCATGAAGCCCGGAAAAAGGCCGTGCGCCGAGAGCGCACGGAGGCCGAGCGCCCGGGCCTCAGGGTTGAGAAACGACTTTGTGCGACACATTTCGCAAACTCGATCGCGCCACACGAGAAGGGCGATCCCTCGCATCTGCGTGATTGTTTTTCTTGTTGTTGTTTGTGCGCGTGTGTGTGTGTGTGTGTGTGTGTGTGGGTGGGGGGGGGGGGGGGGGGGGGGGGGGGGGGGGGGGGGCGGATCTCTTCACGATCTTTCTGGGACAGCACGCAGTGCCATCGCACAGTTCTTCTCATCTTGGTTCAAGCGACGGTGCAGATGCAGGGTCGACACATCTCTCAACTAGCACTTTACTAACGAAAAGCAAACGGTGCCGTAGGCATCGATTTTAACTTCTTCGTGAAAGCTTGAAGAAAAGTAGCTTGTATCTGTTCCTTCTTGGCAGCTTCTCTTCCGCACGCAGTCATTTTAGGCCTCGTCAGGCTTGTTGGGCTGAAGGTATCCCCCAGTAGAGCTGCGCATCCTGCCAGCTGAGGAAAGTATCTGGAGGACCTGGAAGCTGGTCCAAGCTGGTGTCCAAGCTGGTGTCCGAGCTGGTCTCCAAGCCAAGCTTCAGCGGAGTTCAGCACTTCTCAGCCACTTCTCAGCCTCCTCGTTCAAAGAGAGAGGACCACAGCATCCATGTCAGAAGCCGAAGCCGGAGTCCCGAAAAGTTCTGCTCGCGGGCACTGCTTGGGCACTTCTGCAGCACGCTGCCCTTTGCCATAGGCACCGCCCCCAATCCTCTGGCTTGCTGCGATCGGCTTTACAAGGACCGTTTCTGCTTCTGCATGTTTCTGCTGTGCAAGTGCCTGTCAAAAAGGACAGCTCCCAGCGTGCAAGACGCTTGCAACGATCACAGCTGGCCGCTCAGGAGGAGAGCGCTTGGCTTAGGGGGCTTTCGGTAATCGAAATCTGGCCGGCGAGAGGCCTGCTTTATGGAGCCCATCACAGCGAGGGCTCCAAATGTCACAGATCGTAATCACGCAGTTTGTGCCTTAAGGGCTGAGCAATGTTCCACTAGTGATTTCGGTCGCTGCATTTGCGAATGGAGGGCTGCGCATGCTGCCCCCCCCCCCCCCCCCCCCCCCCCCCATACCCCCGGGACGCTATGCATTGTGTATGCACATGGTGGGAGGTGCCTCTGCCCCCCGCCCTCCAACCTGCCCTCGAATCGGACAGTTACAAGGCTCCTCGAGGGGAGAAGGAAGAATCGAAGCGAAAACGCAATGAGCAGAAGGGAGGGAAAAACCTTTTCCAAGCAATCTTGCGAGCAGTGTGATTAAAAGTGGTGCGTGTGCACAGATTTTCGCCAGGCATGTTTGCAGCCGCCTAAGAAAAGACTGCAAGAAATGTTGTGATCCACGGCATGTGGAGCTTGTAAACAGTCACAAGCGTTGCTGTTTACCACATGGATCTTGTATCGTTAGTTAAACAGTTTTCAGCGTGTAAAGATGTAGTTGAGAGCATTAATTAGTCATTTGTGACTTGTCAGCAATCCAGAAATTTACAGCACTTGAAGCTCAAGCAGACATGCTGGAATTTAATTGCAGCATTTGGAGCCTGCAAACGGCCAGAAACGCTGCACTTTTCAGCGTGTAAAGCCCGCGAAGAAAAAATGCTGCATTTCATAATCTTCAAAGCCAGGGGGGGAAACTTGGCAAGGAAAACGGGCACACCCCAGGCCGCCTGCTCCATTAACTTGCACAATCTTGGTTCAAAAATGTCGCGCCCATATGAGTACTTTCCAAGTGGATGTCGGGCGCCAATCCCATGCATTTGGAAACGCAATGCTCCTGGGCAGTAAGAACGCGGCCTCCACTATCAAAACCAGAAGTGCCAGGAAAAGCCCGGCCTCCACGGCAGAAAGTGCGCCAGGCCCCCGCAGCAAAAACAACGCACAAAGCAGACACAGCACAAAGCAAAAAGGGCACCCGGTCTCCACAGCAACAGAAAGCAGCAAAAGAAGACAGCAGAAGACAAGCCTCCACAGCAAAAACGCCCTAAGGCCCTAAGTGCTGCATGCGTGTATTCCTGTAGATCTGGACGAATTGCCATGTTTGTATATCTGTATATCTTTGCTTTCAGAGGCAGGGGACTGGGAGGTGAAGACCCCCTCCCCAACCCGTGAAACATATGGCCCGCTCATGGACTCACGCAAGAGCAGCTTGGAATTCGTGCATCCTTCATCTCATTTTGTGTTGCATCATTCCATTTCGATGGTGCAACAGCCCTGCACCTCTTTGATAGAATTTTCGGTTTGTTTCTGTTTTCTCACATATGACATTCCTGGTGTCTGGCATATGATGTACCAAGCCATCATCTCACTTCATCACTGAAAAGCCTTCCCAAAAGAAATGTTGTACATGTGGGAATTCAGGCTTTGCCGTCATGACGTGAGGGCATGTACAGACAGACGCGCGCCTTAACTAGCGACTTTTTGTCACCTTCCTCATCAAGCTTGGGTCTCGGCTCGCAACGACCAGACTTACTTGACCTTCAACGTTGTGTTAGAGTGATGTTTTGTTGAGTGTGTGTAAGAGTTTGAGACAAAGCGGCGGTCTGCTCTCGCTCTACTCTCTCTCTCTCTCCCGGCTGGCCAGGAGCTCCGTCAGGCCATCGAGGCCAAGTTCGTTCACAGGCGCAGCTGGGGCGGAGAGTGGGGCGCAAAAACGCAAAAGCAACCACGCTTTCAACTTCCTCAAACTTCGAAGTATTTGTTGGAAAATGCTCGGAAGAAGTGCGAGGGCTGTCTCCGCAGATGCCACTTCGAACCCTCGAGGACAGGAGGCGGAGGCCTTACAGGGGCAACGACGAGTCTCCGGAGACGCCTGTCGAATTGCAGAACACGCTGAGGTGGCCATGCGTCTTCACAAAGATTTTGAGGACGCAATGTTTGATAGCAAGGCGAAGCTGGGCGAAGCTGGGCGAAGCTGAGGGAAGCTGAGGGAAGCTGGGGCGCGAGATCTGTCGGTTTTGGTTTGTGCAGAGGGCACCGTCCAAGTTTTTGAAGGACAGACGTCAGCGAGTTGAGCAGAAGAGGCAGGAGCAGGACGAGCATGGCCAGGCACTTTCTAATCACCTCAAGAGTCCTCCTTTGACCAGGAGGAGTCTTTCCGACAGCGAGCTCAGCGAGCAAGCTCCAAGAAGGTCTGGGGCATAGCCTTTTGCAACAAAACAAAGGCCATCCGATGGCATGCCAGATTCCAACCTCCCGTTCCAGCCAACTGCCAAGAACACAAGCCCTCTCTTCTCCATGTGGGGGTTTTCCCAAATCGGGGCCTTTAAGGGGGTTCCATTTTTTGGGGGTATCCCCAATCTTGGAAAACACCCATTTGTGGCCTGGCAGTTTAGGATGGCGTTCATGTCTACTCTATGCTGTATACATCATGCGCGCACACACATTCGTACTCACTTCCGCGCATATCAAGACATGTAGTCTGCAATTCCCTTGCTATGCTTTTCCTTCCCGTCTGCTCACGGGTAACGTTTCACGTCAGAATCATCTATCTCAGTTGAGCGCGGTCAAATTTCCATCCCTAATGAAATGATCAACCCCAATATCGTCAAGGTTGAATGGCCATCCTGCGGGGGATCTAGTGGACCTCATGCTGTTTTTTTTCTCGGCTTCGCGCTGAGGGCTCGACACCCCGCACACCGACGGTGAGGCCCCGGAACTCGCCGCCCAAGCTAGAGAGTCAAACGTGTGTCAACACGCCAAAGACGGCAATGCACAGTCCGTGGGCAAAAGAGACCAAGAAGGCGAACTCCAAGGCCCCCCGCTTTATGCGCGAAATGCTTCATTGTTTTCGATGTGAGAAAGCCAACGACTGAGGCTGCTCAAGGAGTTGCAGAAACGCGTCCCATTCTTGGCCCCAGAGAGCCCATCTCTTACATGTTCTTCTTCGTGGACAAAAAAAATCTCCCCGAGGGAAGAGTTCGAGTTCCCGAAGCCCGGCCTCCACCACGGCTTCGGAGTGGCGCTTTGCCCAGGTGTGGAGGACTTGTGAGAGAGAGATTGAGAGACCAACATGGCGCCCGGGAAAGGTATGTATCGGGTCTCATCAAGTCGTGCCAAGTCGTGCCTTAAGGTCGCCCAAGTCACCCAAGTCGCCCAGCAACTCCATGAAGTCGACCTCGACCTCCTCCAGGGTTCCAAACCGAGAAGGCATCTGCTTTTTGTCGATTGTACAGACGGACATGCTCTTGAAGGGGTCAAATGGTGAGAGTGTGTGTGTGTGTGTACTGCCCGCTCACGTGCACGGGAGGGGGTCATCCCGTGTGCGGCTTTCATGCCTCGGGACTAGTCGAACAAGTGGAAGGATACATAGCTCGGCAGCTTCAAAGACAGCACCCGGCGTGCCCGGGTGACGTCACAAAGAAGTCGGAACCCCTTGTCGTGTTCACAAAACACGCACGGTTGCCACAGGCACAGCGCCAGCACGTGCAGTCTCCTCCCGGCCCCCCTCCTTCCCAGGGAGAAGGAGAAACGAGACCCAGCCCCATGTTGCAGTGAACCCGGAGGCTCGCCCGGATGTCCTCGTAGTGCGGCCGCCTTACCATGTGCTAACGCACCGTCAGCGCCGCTTCAACGCCTGCTTTGCCCATTGGCGCCAACACCTGTGCAGGTTTCTTTGCGCGGAGCAATGCCGCCGGCCGCAGCCTCCGAGGGCGCTGAGAGCTTTGAGAGCTTTGAGAGCTTGTGAGAGACTTGTTGCCCAGCCCATTTCCGGCCTCCGCTGCACCAAAGGATTCGAAGGAAGGACAAAATCCTCACACGCGCGCTTTTGACATGACACGCGAAATGAAGCTTGGACCTTTGACAGAAACAGAGAGGTGCTGCCACGAGATCTCCGAAACTCAGCCAACTCACCAAATGCTGTTGCTTTGTGGGTTTTGTTCGTTCCTATTTAAAGGTCCTTTCCGAGCTCCTTGAAAGCTGTGAGATGTGGTTCCTGCCGTTCCAGACGTGAGATGTAGTGTGTGGCTTGCGTTGTCTGTTGTTTTGGATTTCGGTTGCCTTGTATGTAGGACTTGATGTTGCGCCTGAGTGAGAGGGATGACGTAGTTACCTGAGCTCAATCAGTCTATTGTTAGCTTGTTTTGTTTCGTCTGGGGGAGGTTGTTATACTGGTCCAGCACTGCGCCGCCTTCAGGAGGAAGTCGTCCTCCTCACAACCCTTTGGGAAAACAGCTTGAGGGTGATCAAACTACGCATTCGATGTCAAGGCAGTGCTAGCACACGTGGGCCAGTCCCTGCAGTGCGACTTTCAGTCAGCTAGGCGGGTGGCAAAGAAAGAATTCCCAGCTAAAGCTGTTTGGAAAGAAGAGTGAGACAACTACGAGATAAGGGTCCCAGATGGGCGTCACAGCCTGTCGGGGCTGCTCACTTTACACAGGGAGACAGATGGGAGACAACTGCACGACAACAGTCCCAGAGTGTCGCAGCATGCAGCTTCGAAACACCGTCGCAACATGCAGCGCTGAGACATCTGGGAGGCATATGGAAGATATTGGACTTGTGCCCTGAGAAGCCCACGTGCGTTACAGGAACCTTTCTTCAAACAAAATCAGAAACCCTCTGCTAAAACTGTTTGGGGAACTCTTTCAAGAATTAAGCTCAAACTATTTCTAAATGCTTGAACCGAATCTGGCTAACGTCTGCCACTTGTGTGATCGAGAGGGCAAAACCAGGAGCTAGCTGCGTACCTGTGCAATTAAGGCTGAGCCGCTGCTGAATACAAATGGGAGATGAAGAATGAAAACCAGTCGTCCCCGACGTCGCAGCATCCAATCTGCTCGCTTCATTGCCGGAAATCGTTGGGAGAGAAATGGGACACAACTGTCCCACACCGACGTCACAGCATCCAGGGTTTGCCAAGAGGGAAACAAGAGTCTCAAATGGTGGCACCAAAAGGCAACAGGATACCGCCGAGAGCCGGCGGCCGCGGCCACGGTCCTCTTTGCAACCCCGAGTTAAGCTAAGAGTGAAGTCCAAAACTTGCAGCATTGTAGGCGATCCAGCAGACCAGCCTCGCGCAGCGCAGAAAGCCAAAAACCTCCCAGGTGGCGAAGGAATGTTGATGGCTGTCCAAGAAAGGCTGGACGGAGTAGGACCTCCTCGTCACCGCCTTCTTTGCGAGATTGAACCAAGCACAGATACAGTAAGCGCGAGTCGACGACGCTCTGCACATCGGAAACCTTAAGAGACCCAGACACTGCATTGCATTTTTGGCTGTCACGGTTTCGTCCGTCACGGTCTCGTCCGCTTCTACTGTTTTGGGCTGTGCACGTCCGCTTCTACTGTTTTTGGCCGTCACGGTCTCGTCCGCTTCTGCTGTTCTTGGCGGTCACGGTCTCGTCCGCTTCTACCGTTTTTGGCCGTCTCCGCTTCTAATGTTTTCTGCGTCGCGGTCTCGTCCGCTTCTACTGTTTTTGGCTGTCACGGTCTCGTCCGCTTCTACCGTTTTTGGCCGTCACGGTCTCGTCCGTTTCTCCTGTTTTGGACTGTGCACGTCCGCTTCTACTGTTTTTGGCTGCCACGGTTTCGTCCGCTTCTACGGTTTTGGCCGTCACGTCCGCCTCTACTTTTTTTGTGCTGTCACGGTCGTTCGCTTCTACGGCTTCTGGGCGTCACGGTCTCGTTCACTTCGATTGTTTTGGCCGTCACGGTCTCGTCCGCTTCTCCTGTTTTGGGCTACGTCCGCTTCTACTGTTTTTGGCTGCCACGGTTTCGTCCGCTTCTACGGTTTTGGCCGTCACGGTCTCGTTCGCTTCGATTGTTTTGGCCGTCACGTCCGCCTCACCTTTTTTTGCTGTCACGGTCGTTCGCTTCTACGGCTTCTGGGCGTCACGGTCTCGTTCACTTCGATTGTTTTGGCCGTCACGGTCTCGTCCGCTTCTCCTGTTTTGGGCTACGTCCGCTTCTACTGTTTTTGGCTGCCACGGTTTCGTCCGCTTCTACGGTTTTTGGCTGCCACGGTTTCGTCCGCTTCTAAGGTTTTGGCCGTCACGGTCTCGTCCGCTTCTCCTGTTTTGGGCTGTGTACGTCCGCTTCTACTGTTTTTGGCTGCCACGGTTTCGTCCGCTTCTACGGTTTTGGCCGTCACGGTCTCGTCCGCTTCTCCTGTTTTGGGCTGTGCACGTCCGCTTCTACTGTTTTTGTCTGCCACGGTTTCGTCCGCTTCTACGGTTTTGGCCGTCACGGTCTTGTTCGCTTCGATTGTTTTGGCCGTCACGGTCTCGTCCGCTTCTATTGTTTTGGGCTGTCACTTTCTCGTCCGCTTCTGCTGTTTGGTCATGTTGTTGGGGAGCCCCAAACTCTACCAAGGTCCCACCAACCAGACGCGGGCCACAGCATCCAGCATCGAGAGGTTGCCCCCCATATAAATCAGAAAGCGGATCACAGTAACCCTTCTTTAACCGCTCTAAGAACCCCAGCTCCAGCTGTTTGGGAACATTGGGCGTTTTTAGGTTTCTGTGTGGCCTTGCTCTGGCCGGCAGCGTCGCCTTTTCCAAGTTGTCTGGGAGCTCCTTCTCTTCGTTCCGATGTCACGTCATAAGTCACGTCTCATATGCGCTTTGGCATGTCATTGTTTGTTGTCTCGTGTGGCATTGTGGCATGTGCCTACACTGCTGGTTGTGGATGTCGCATAAACGGGTATTGCTCTCATCCGCATTCATGCGGAGCTTGCTGGATGTTGACAACGTGAGATGAAATTCAAAGGACGCGTGGGTGGAAGTGAGAATGTCTTGCGGGGTCCGAGGAAGGTTCTGGAAAGGCTAAACCGTTCGCACTTCGTGCGAACTAGTCCTGAATTTCATCGCGTTAGAGCTGGCCGCAAAGCAGTAACATGCATCACTTTGCTGCGCTCCTTCAGTGCGTGCACCTATTCGGCCTTCAAGCAGCTGAGCAGCTGCAACAGATTGCAACAGCATGAACAAAGTCCTGCAAGTAATCCTGAGAAGTAGTGGAAGGATACCGCTTGGGCCATCCAAGCGGGATTCATGACACCAGACGAAACTGTGAAAGGAACGTGGCAGCGCAGTTCAGTACGGAGCAAGGTGAGGGTGGTTCCGCTAAGAGATGCTAAGAGACAGGGAGACAAGAGACACGTATTTACTTGCTGCTTTTCGTCGTACGAACGCCCGCGTCACGGTCCAACACATGCGCGCAATGGCCGGAATGCCACAGATCCCTCACCTTGCCTTGCATTCAGGCCCTGCAGAGAAGGGAAAAATACCATTCCCTGTGCCCTGAGGAGAAATTAAACACGTCGGACCTCCTGGACGTTGAAGTGGGCGTCGTCGCTGCTGTCGGAGTTCTGGAGGTTCCAGGGACGACCTGGCGCGCTCCCGTTGCGATTAGATCTGATCTGTGTACACGGAATGCTGCGAAGCACGCAGGTACTGCGTTGTGCAAGTAGCTGGAGGGCATGATCTGATACTGTGCACTCGGAGTGTGGAGAAGACCACCGATGTCGTGTGGAACGAGTCGGTCCTTACATCGATTCATCCCACGGATACGCTATTGCCCCTGCCCCTGCAGAGGAGACTCGCAGACTCGGCTTGGACAGCATGTCACCGCGTGTCACACTAGGTCACAGTGTTTCAGCTGAGGTTCAAGGTCTTCGCAGAGAAAGAGTGCCAAGCGGAAGCTTCTCTACAAGTCGCATCGGTCTTGAAGACTCTCGGTTGAGCAGTGTGAGTGACCACTCTTTGCACGCAATGGTTTCAAGCCTTGTCGCAATAAGGATTTGCTCTTCCGGCCAGCTGCTTAAAGTTACTTCAGTAACATGACACAACCGACATGAGAGACGCACCGCACTTTAAAGTCACGCAGCAGGGGGAGGGTGCACGTTTTGTTTCTGGTGTTGCATGCGCAAAAAAATCGTAGACGTAGACTGGTAGTGCGTCGTAGGCTTTCTCAGGTTTCGAGGGCAAGCTGCGCATGTGGGAGAGAAGTCCGGGAGCCGGCACAACCCCGCACCTCCAAGCCAGGGGCCTCAGGGCACATGCATTGCAAGCTTTCTGATCCCTTACAAACATATTGCGCTCTCTGCCTTTTTCTCAATGTTTTTGCAGATGTTTGTAAACAGTTAAATGTCCAGGTGACCCTCCGGCGCCTGGAAAAGCTTGAAGTTGCAGAGGGAGAGGCCGTGGAGGCGAGGAGAGTTAAACTCTGCAGCAGAAAGTGCGCTTTGGCTTTTGGCTCTTTTTTTTTTTGGGGGGGGGGGGGGGGGGGGGGGGGTTGGCACCTAATCAAGCCCTTTGCCAAACAGTATTTCTCCAGATCACACCGCAGCAGAGCCGAGGCGAAGAAGCCGTCGCCTTCAGGCAAAGGGGGCGTGGGGGAAGAGGGGGCCGTGGGACCGTGGTTGGGTCTATGCCCACGGCCCACAAAGGAAAGCTTCTCTCCTCCGCACGAAAGTTGTTTCTCGCACATGCACACGTTTCTCTCTCAATTGAGACGCGTAGAGCTCTAGCTCCGGAGAGCTTGCGCACTCTTAGTTTCGTTTGTTTCTTTCCTTCCCTCGGTCCGTCCCTCTTTCTCTTTGTTTGTTTTCTGTGTTTTTGTTTCTCTCTCTCTCTCTCTTTTTCTCTCTCTCTCTCTCTCTCTCTCTCGCTCTCTCTCTCGCTCTCCCTCTCCCTCTCCCTCTCTTTTTCCACACTTGCGTGGGCGCCCCAGGATACACTGGCAAAGCCTGGAGGCCGTGCAGAGCACGCAGCAGAGCATATCGCAGCACAGCATAGAATGTTCTTGTTGGGTTTGGGACTACTCGGGGATACGGGGCCGGGAAATTACCGGGGGGGGGGCGGTGGGGCATTCCCCGACCAATACGGGCCACCTCATTGCAAGCCCTGCGCAGGAAGGATAGCCGAGACCTCTTGGGCGCAACCCAGCGAGTGCGAAGGATGCAAAGTGAGCCTTCGCTTCCCTCGCCTGTAACGCCGCATTCTTCGGCTGAAGGGGGCTTATTGGCTTCAACATCCACATTCCTACCAGTGAGCACGAAGGCGTCGACGTCCAGAACTGCACGGCAAAGTGAGAGGAAACCGAGAGCGGGCTACGAGTTTGAAGTGTATATGACGCTTCCATCGGACCTGACAAAGTACACAGTGCAGATTCCGGGAACATGGCTACCAGACCACTTGCAAGGGGAAGCACGCGCTGTGGAGGAGCTGCTCCTTGGCAAGAGAAGCCACAGCGGCAGAACCATGTAGAACACAGGTTTCTGTTCGCACAAAGGCGTGTGTTTTTGCTAATGTGGTTCGGTTCTGTGCGGTGAACGATTGTGTGCAGCGCTGGCCGCTGCCTTGGCCTCCGTAACCACACCCTGCTTTGGGGCAGACCAACCGTTCTTCCTCGCACGCGCGTAACCCGCTTTTCCATTATCTGTTCCCTTCACCCCGTTCGCCCCTTTTCCCCATTCTTCCCCCCTTTCCAGTTCGGTTTGAGAGCTGGGCGAAGAACGGGGATGGGGGAGTGGGGGGTTCTTTGTCGCTCTTTTGTTCTCTCTCGCTTTCTTTCTTTATCTCTTTCTTTCTTTCTTTCTCTCGTGCTGTCTTTCTTTCTTGTTTTCTTGCTTGCTTTCTTTCTTTCTTCATTTCTTTCTTTCTTTCTTGCTGTCTTTCTTTGTTTCTGTCTTTCTTTCTTTCGTGCTTTCTTGCTTGCTTTATTTATTTCGTTATTGCTTTCTTTCTTTCTGTCTGTCTTTCTTTGTTTTCTTTTCGCTCTGTCTTTCTTGCTTGCTTGCTTTCTTTGTTTCTTTCGTTCTGTCCGTATTTCTTTCATTCGTTCGTTCTGTTTTTTTTTTTGTTTTGTATGTTTTTCTGTTTCTTTCGTTCTTGATTTCGTTCTTTCGTTCTTTCTTTCTGTCTGTCTGTCTGTCTGTCTCTGTGTGTTTCTTTCTTTTTTTTTCCTGTCTTTCTGTCTTTCTTGCTTTCTTGCTTTCTCGCTTTCTCGCTTTCTCGCTTTCTCGCTTCTTCGCTTTCTCGCTTTCTCGCTTTCTCGCTTTCTCGCTTTCTCGCTTTCTCGCTTTCTTGCTTTCTTGCTTTCTTGCTTTCTTGCTTTCCTGCTTTCTTGCTTTCTTGCTTGCTTTCTTTCTTTCGTTGTGCGTTCTTTCTTTCTTTTTTGCTTTCTTTCCTCTTCTCTCTCTCTCTCTTTTCATCTCTCAGGGTTCGACGTTACTTTCAGAGACAGAGAGAGAATGTTTTGTACAAAAAGAGGCGCTGCCGCAGAGCAGTGAACGAGAGAGGCTTGCACTCTTTCTCTCTCTCTTCTGCGCCCCTTTCATTTTTGATATCTTCTCTGGTCTCCTCTGCGTCTTGTCTCAGAGGGTCGTCTTCCTCGTCGTCAGAGCTCGTTTTTGTCTTTTTGTTCTTTTAGATTTCTCGCTCTCTCTCTCTCTCGCTCTCTCTCTTTCTCTCTTGTTTTTGTGTGAGAGAGAGAAGTCAACGAAGCCTCTCCAAGGCTCCTCTCGTTGACGGCGCGGGGCGTGGAAGAGGCGAGGCCGACGGAGGCTGCCCGAGCTGCCCGAGCTCGAGGGCGAGTGAGCAAAGGGAACAAAAGGCGCATTCCGAGATTCCCCCTGCATGCTCTGTCGGATTCTGTCCTTTGCTTTTCTGTTGAGGGACAGTTTTCGGCAGAGAGGTTTTCGTTGTCGACTTTGAGAGGTGCACGTTGGCACGGACAAGGCTGGGATCCCAGATCAGGGCTCCAATTCGACCCGAGAGTTGAGTTTTTGGAGTCTTCGGAGTGCTGAGAAGTCTCAGAAAGCAAAAAGGACTGTGGTTGACTGTCATTGTCTTATTGAAGCTTCTGGGGTTCATGGAGGCTGGATGGCTCGCAGCCACGTGAGAGCGCACTCGCATCGCAAAGCGATGCGACTGTGACCGAGCAAGCCCTGAACCTGCAATGTGAAAAAAAGAGACGCGCTCGTTGTGTCACTCGGCTCAGGCACCCTGCTGTTCGCGCGAAAGCATGTCCGAAATGGATGTGAAAAGTCACATGGTGAGACATTGGTGGCGAGAGCATCCGGCTTGGATGTACACGATTTAGGGCAGAGGTGGTTCCCGTTGGCGTAGTCGACTCCAAGGCAGACCAGCTACCCAGTCTGCCCAGTTGAGTGGGTCATGCCACAGGTCACATTTACAGAATTGGGGGTCTTTGTTTTGCAAACACCATTCAATCAGACGCAGGGATCCTCGAGTGCTCAAGCATGAAGAGCTGTCAAAAGCTCATAGGAGGGGGAACAACTGATAGAGTCTGATAGAACTGGGTACCTTCTAAACCTTCCCGACCTGGGCCTAGCGTTGACACTAGCTGTTTAATCTAGCTCTCTGGAGTAGAGTCGTGGACCGGCGCAACTGTCACTTCTGACGACACACTACACAATAAGGGACACACATGTGGCTCATGGAGACAGTGCCGAGAATGTACACCACCTGCCACTCAGAAGTTGCGTCCGCAAGTCCTCGACTCTGCCACGGGCTTATACAGTACACTTCGTCTTACACATTGCGCCCAGTCATGAAGCAGAGTACACGAGATTCCCGTGACCATAGTCTCCAGGCGCAGTGCAGCAAAGCATGCGACATGGAGGATGACGAGCTGGCGTCCGAGGCTTAAACTCGAGCACGCGACGGGTAGACTCGGGTAGACTGTCAAGTCGAAGAGCATCCGGCGCCGAGGTTTTCTGTCAGTGAAGCTCCTGAAGGCTCGGACCAATGCAACCGCCTTCACACGAAGCGGCAGTACCGTGTGAAATCAGGGCGACCATTCGGACCCGTGGCCAACAGTCTGAGTGATGACGAGCCTGGGCCACAGAACGTCGCAGCATAGCATGAAGCGGCAATTAGCGACATGAAGCCATGATTCACTGAAATTCATTGTGTCACACTGTTTCACACGGAATGAAGCATCATATGCCCCGTTACGCAGCAGGCTCCTGAGCCCGGACACTCGCAGCGAATGGCCGGCGCTGGCCAGGCTGTTTGTGATTCCTCAATGTCCTTCTTTGACTTAGACGTTTTTTGTGGACATCCGAGACATGAAGATGATGATATGGCTGATATGGATGAGTGTCCGTCTCAGAGCAGAGTGCCGTGCAGAAGGCTTTTTCCTTGTCATCAGAAGGGCATTAAAGAGAGCGATTCGCCAATGCCCCTGAGCCCTTAAGGTTGATGGCGGTTGTGGGGGTCGATGAGGCACCTTTCGAGCCGGGGGAGCCCAGAGCGAGGCCCGCCAAAAATCTCAAGAGTCAGAGTCTCTGACAGAGATCCTACCGAAAGCTCTTGAACTTGATCTGAAATGTGTCTGGCCAGGTCAGACGGTGAAGCAGCGCAGCTGGTGCCCAAGCGGAGTGCTCCCGAGCATCAGTGCTTGTGCAATCTTGTGCAAGTGCCGGCCAGTTCTTTCTCAGGTCACCCTTCTATGAGCCTCATCAATGGCACCCTGACCAGGCACGGCAAGTTACTCAAGGTCTCAGACTAACATTGTCGAGTCTCCTGGGTTTTGGTAGGATCTCCTGGGATGGCGATCTGCTCTGAGTGCCCTGAGCGCGCATCTGAAGGCCTCCGCCGCTCGCGGCAGCTCCAGCAGCTCCGGGGGCTCTGAGCAAGAAAGCAGACAAAGCCGAAGTTCTTCAGTTCACAGTCTGAGCTCAGAAATCAGCAAGAACGAGATTCAGAGGGAGATCCTTGCCACATTCAACGGCACGGTGGACACGGCAGGGCTGGGGAGTCCAGAGCGAGATGGTCCTGTCCACGCCGCCTTTGGCGGAGCTGGCGGAGCTGGCGGAGCCGAAGCCAGCCTCTTTTCCTCGGAGCAAAAGGTTTTCAACACTTCTCTTATAACAGTCTAAAACAACCCTCTCTTTCTCTCTCTCTCTCTCTGTCTCTCTGCTTCTCTTTTTAGTTATAAGCGAGACTTTGTGGTGGGGGGGGAGATCTGCTTCCTCTCTCCTGAGTGAAGCTTCTTAAGAGAGTGAGCCTTTTCTCTCCTCTGAGGAGTGCCGAAGCGGAGCCGGATCCCGCGGAGCCCTGGGAGGCTCGGCGGGCTCGGCGGGCTCGGCTGCTCCTTTTGCTCCCCTCCTCTTTCCAGAGCCGCCTCTCCCAAAAAAAAGAGGAGAGCAGAGGGGAGAGCAGAGGGGAGAGCAGAGGGGAGCAAGAGAGGGAATCTCGAGGTCCACCAGCCCAGGAGCCTCGCGGCGGTCATCCAGGAGACTCGGGGACTCATCCGCTCTCCTGCCTTCTGCGCTCTCTCTTTTCTTGTTTTTTGCGCGGCTCGCTTCTCTCTCTCTCTCTCTCTTTCCCTGCTGTGCTCTCTGACTGTCATATGATTATTTCTTTTTTTGTTCTCTTTTTACTTTCTTCATCTCACTTTTTTCGAACTTGTTTTTTTCTCTTTCTTTTTCTCTCTCCCCTCTCTCTTTCGCCAAACAGGTCTCCATCGAGAGCCTCGCCAGCCTCGCCAGCTTCGCCTTGGGCCCAAGTTTCGCGAAGTCGAGACAAAGCGAAGTGGGAGGGGGGGTGCGATTTCTTTAGTGTGCTCTCTGGCGTGAACAGGGACTGGCACCGCCTCCCAGTTCACGAGCGCCTCTACGCAAGGAGCAAGTGAGAGGAGGGAGCGAGGGAGGGAGGGAGGGAGAGGGATAGAGGGAGAGAGAGAGAGATAGAGAAAAACAAAAACAAAGAGAGAGCAAGAGAGCGCCCGTGCCCCGCGGGGGGGGTGTTCTGGCCCCTCAAACCCTGTCGTTGAAGAAGAAGAAGGAGAAGGAAAATAATCAAAAAAGAGGGGGGGGGGGTAAAGGCAAACGAAGGCAAGTGCGCGCATACGGGAATTTCTTTGAAAGATTTTGAAAGATAAGACTCGGAAGCGAAGAGTACAGTAATCTCCGGCTTTGTCACGCGACGCCGAGTTGCTCCAAGCAAATGAAGGCAGGGGTCGGAGGTGGGGCACCTAGTGCGTACTGCGTCCTATACTTGCTTGCTACTCGCCAAGCGTCGGGATCTCATAACAAAACAAATGTTGCCTCAGAGAAAGGAGCACCTCTGCGCGGCGTGCCTTTGCGGAGGACGGGAACGAACCACGCATTGGCGCTTTTGGCCCCCTTGAAGTTCTCCAAATTCTGGAGTTCAATCGCCTTCTCATGCTCCTCCTCCCGCTCTTTCCTTCTTTTTGCGTTCTGACTGCCTTCTTCAACGGACCTCTCGGACTCCTTCGGACTCCTTCGGGTTGAAAACCCCCTTTTGCTTCTCAGGCACGCAGAGAAGAGAGAGAAGACTCGAGGCAGTACTCGAGGCCTCCAAAGATGCTGGAAGACGGGCCTGCGGCGCCTCGGCAAATTGAAACAGATGACAAAAACAACCGCAATTCTTTCGTGGGAAGGGTGGATCGTAGGAATGTCGTAGAAGATCCTCTGTGGATCGAGCAGTGGTGAGCATCGTGTATAGAATTGTATAGATGCGTATAGCAGTCGGAATGGCTCTATAGAGGTTTGCACAACTTCCCAGGCCGAAGCTTGCAGAAGGCTTCACGAATCCAGCTGTCATCGGCGCAGTCGGATGGCGAGGAGACGGGACCTTTTTTCGTTTACTTTAAGTCTTGTTTTTGGCAGGTGCCCACCCTGGGACTTGTAGTTGTTGTCATCGTACAGTACTTGTACTGGAACGGCCATAGTGACTGGCCGCGAACCGCGGAGAAGTTTAGTCCAGGCCACAGTCGATAGCTGAACTCCAAGTCAAGATCCAACAACTCCCAAGCTTTTGCCCACAGAGCAATGGAAAAAGCACGGCGATGACCGTCGCAGGTGGGGAACGCGTGGGATTTGCAACTCAGGACGCGGCAAAAGTATGATGACGAGTTTGCCAGCCTCCAAGAGTCGTGCTTAATCATGACACCATGTTTGAGCCGCTGGACAGAGGCTGCTGTGGCGACCTTCTCCCCCAACCTCGGCAGAGGTGCCAAGGGCATGTTTTGCCCCCATTAAATTTTGTCCTCATCAAAAGTGGCAGAGGTGCGCCCACTCGTGTTCGCGGTTCTGGCAGGTGCGCCCACTCCACACAAAGCTCGCTTCGAGGCGAGAATCTCTTTCGATCTCCCCCGCCTCTCTGTTGAAGTCATGCGGGAGCTGCCGAGGCGTGGGTGCAAGAGCAAGAGCTGTGGAAGCGAAAGCGTGATGCGCGGTCCTTATTTTTTGCGTCAGAGCATGGGGCATTCAGCATACAGTGGAAAGGAGAAGCGCGATGAGAAAGTGAAGAACATTGAGATGGCGCAGGCAGAGTATTTCGAGAGGTACAGCGTCCATCGCACGGGTGACCCAGTCTCTTCCGGTCGTCCACGCAATTTGCAGCACCCGACAGAGATTGCGTACTGAGGTGGCTGCGCCGAGCAGGATCCAAACAAGGTTGTGGCGAGACTTTGTAAGTCTGGCACGAAGAGCAAGGCTGTGTTGCGGTCTGTCGCCTGACCGGTAAGCTGCGCACAAGCATCCCTCAAGACTCGCCAGGAAAAATTGCAGAGGAAGCGCACTGAACAGCTGGAGTTGGAGCAGACGATGCCTTGGTACCTGCTTGTATTTACTTTAAGTTTTCGTCCGCCTGATGCGACTCACATTCTTGGCCGGGCCTGTGCCAAGGCAATATATGGCTGACATGTCTGTTCACCGTCGTGTGCACGCGATCGATGCTGCGGCGAAGGTGGGTGCAGCAGCATGAGGCAGCATTCCGTAGGGCCAAGCTATGCCTAAAAATGAAAGAATCAATAATCTTGAAGACGACGATGACCTTACAAGAGCAGCGACGCCAGAAACGAGCTACGGTGGAACCCTTTACCAAGATGTACAAGCGCGAGTCTCCGGCTGGAGACTTGGGTCAGGGCCTAAACCCACAAACCCAAGGGCGGGAAGGGGGGGAGAACAGGCCTGGGGGGGGGACCTACACCTACAATCAACCAACGTCCTCCGAACGAGCTTTAGTGGGTTCAACAGGCCATTCGGCGGGCGCGGATGGCACAAGTGCAACGCGCGAGCAAGAGCACAGTGTCACATGCTCGTGCCCAACTAGTTGCACCAAGGACACAACATGTCCCGGTAATCACGCCTAACAGCATAAACAGCCGGGGAAACGAAGGCCCCCGACAGCACAGCACGCTTTTGGGCACAGCAGTTGCGGGCAGGCTTGCAGCGAGCGCCCTTGCACGCCGAGGAAGCGTTTGCGTCGCGACGAGTGGGCCTGAAGGAAGTAAAATCTCCAAGATTCGCGTAGAAAATGTCTTAGGAAACCACAGGGACGTTATTCCAGCGCCTGTGCGCATTCAAGGACAAACGAGAAGTGATAGCGGCATTAAGCCAAAGCACCAACCACCCAGCCAAATGTAGCAAGCATAGTTTTCAAAACGCCCGCCCAACTTTGAGGAGTGTTCCAAGGAGCAGGAACAGTCAACTGCAATTGCTTGACAGAATGCCAGGCAGTTGAGAAACTGGCTTCACAGGCACCGAGTTGAAATCGCACTGCTTGCCACGCAACACACGCGAAAGACCAAGGGAAGCTGCTTTAGGCTCAAAGAAAACTCGACGGACAAGCTGTTCCACTGTTTTGGTCTAACAGTGGGTGCTGTTAAGAGCCAACCATACGATGGTGCGGCAACAACAATACGCTGTTTTGCCTCAAGAGGAAGCGGCAAGAAAGCAGCCCTGGCAATCAAGCAAAAAGACTTATCATGATTTACAATCCTATCATTTTCTTAACACAAGCAGCATAAGCTGTAAGAGCTGGCTCAGCCGCACCATGTTCGCAGAATTGAGAACGCTCACTGGCGTTGCAGTGGCCCTGGTTGTCCTTCAGACCCCCAAAACGTGCTCCAAACTTGAAGGGCTTCAACTGCCGAAGCAAAGTAACGGCGCGCATGACAGACTTCCCAAATAGCGGGACAGAGAATCCCAACCAATTCAACAACTTGAGGGAGGTTTTGGCATGACACGCATCGGCGAAGTCAAGACACAAGGACTCAATGTCAATCTTTGCTGGGAGGACCACAACTCATTGAGGATATTAGCGATGTTGTCAGACAAACCAAGCTGACAAAGGATATGTATGGTCGGAAGCGTGGGGATCCACGTGGTCAAAAGCTTTACTGTAGTCAAGCGAAACCAAAAACTGGCGCTCATCACGCAAGAGCATGGCATAACATATCCATACCTCTGCCAGCACCAACGGCCTCAGGAGGACACCAAGAGACAGCCAAGCATGGGCCTGCGGAGAAGCAAGTCGCGTAGCACTCCATGACCTGTAGGAACAGGAAAATACCGTGAGAGGCCGATGAGTGGCCACGTCAATGGCACCGTCACATTGACGTAAGCCTTTGCCAGACTTGGGCAAATGCACTTGGCGCCAGCAGGTAAAGGCCAGGACCTTTTGCAGAAAAAGCGAGCAACCCATGTCGCAGCTCACAAATTTCGTCGCCAAGACAACCGTCGGGACCAGCGGCTTTACCCGTGCATTTTGGACGGCAAAGGCAGCAGCATCACAAGGTTCCAAAGAAGCATTGGCGACAGGAGCCTGAAAACCAACGGTACGACAAGCACGTTGCATGGTGACACGCAAAGGTTCAAGAGCAACATAACCAAGGCAAGTCTTCTTCACATTAGGGCATTGCCAGGGACTCAGCATGCGGCGCAGTTGTAGGCCAGGAAGGCTTCCAATCTTTGAGGCGGCGAGTCTTGCCGAGTCACGAATAGCTTGGATCTCCTGCATGATCTGACTCCGTAACGTGCCGTTAGCAGTGCGCCACCACCAAAACTCAGCAGATTGGCCTTCACCAAGACGAACAAACTTAAGCATTACATGAAGCCTCGTGCATCACATGATTTCCGCAGTCGGAAGTTATCACGAGTTTCACCGTTGGGGCTGTACAGGCAAGATTAATTTTATCGCTAACGCGAGACCGCCTCGGCAAGGGTACCGAGCGGCAGGAAGGGGTACTGGGGGCGAGGGGGGGAAGGCGGCGTGCCCGTCGAGTGCGTGGGGTGGGGGTGGGGGGGGGGCGTGGGGTGGGGTCTTTGGGGGGGGTTGGGGGGGCAGGGGTGGGGAGGGGGAGGGGTGGGGAGGGGGAGGGGGGAAAGGCGGGTGGGTAGCCTCAGGCAGCATGTGTAGGACAACAAACGCTCGCAGTGTTGCTTGTTGCTTGCCGGCTGTGTACCGGTGTAAAGTTGAAAGCTGTGTTGGGGCTCCGAGATTTGGTATGGGGGGTGCAGGGGTGGGGGGGGGGTCAGGCCGGCCTCGGCAGATTTACTCAAGCAGCCCTTTTTGGGCCGGAAGAAAACATTTGGCCCCCCCCACATCAATCATCTCTAAACAAGCTCTTCTCCTTTAGCTGGGCAAGGGCCGTTCCCCTCCACCGCTTTAAGATTTAGGGGGGCTAGCTTTGGGCTTTTAGGATTTACTGGGTCTTGGGTTTACGGTTTAGCCCTTTTGAACCTTCAGGGTTTAGGGCCTATTGGGCTGTAGGGTTTAGGGGCCACAGGCCTTACGCAAAGTACATTCGCAACGCAAAGAAATAGCCTTCCATGGTACGCAGCGCACGCGTGAGCGGCTGTAGCGAGCGGCTTGTAAGGTTCAGGAATCCATCCGGCGCTTGTACCATGAGGCTCAACAGATCTGAGCCCTTCAGCGTGAGGTTTCAAATAGCTTTCAGTGTACTTGAAAGTTTGCCCGCAGGACTTGGAGAAGAGGGGCGCGTGGATGCGCACGTTTGGGCTCACAGTCAGAGAGGGCTAACGGGTAGCTGGGCAGCTCGTGCGCTGCACATGTGCCAAATGCTAAGGCAACTGGCTGGGAAGATGCAAGCCGTCCTTTGACAAAATTGACATGGTGGTTTTGGCATTTGATGCAACTCGGCTTGTATATGCATCCTTGTTGATTCAATTCTGGGCTCAGGAGATCGACGAGGAAGAGGCATTGTGGAGGCGCACGGCACCATGGAGAACTACTTAGAAGTCGAATCTGGAGCTTCATGACCAAAGCTGCCATGGGTGTGGGCATGATGTGGACATGATGTGGACTCTGTGGACAGGTCCTCTGTGCACGCACTCGCGCTGGAGCGTCGGGGTGCGAGTCCCAACGGTCGCAACCAGGCACAGTCGGGAGATCGTCCACGCTCCCTCATCGTGAATTCAGGAATCGCGCTTAGATGGAGGGTAGCGAATCGAACAGGATTCTTCTGCGACAAGATGGGTTTCCAAATTGAACTGTTTGTTTGCGCCGTGCTTCGCACCATCGAATCATCCACCTGCACTTTTCTTGACGCTGCGAAGGTGCCGACGGTGCCGATGCCAGAGAGGCGGCACGATCTGCCAGCGGCTGGGCAGAAGCCTGCACAGGGCTCACATGGCTTTCGACGAAGGTCAGAACACTCAAACGAGCTCCAGGCAAATGAGAAGGGACTTGTCTACGATGAGGAGGACTCAAGCGACAGTGCCGACGAAGCTGCTCAGAGGATTCAAGGCGTCCAGCGTGGCAGACAAGCACGAAGGCTCTTGGCGGCTGAGCGGCAAAGCCAACACAGCAGCGTCGACGAGGCAAGCTCGCAGCTAGGGGACGACTCGGCCGACACCCAGCGTGCCGAGGCCGCTACAAGGATCCAAAGCATCCAGCGTGGCAGACAAGCACGAAGGCTCATGGCGGCTAAGCAGCAAAGCTCGCAGCAAGAGGACGGCACGGCCGACACACGGCGTGCCACGGCCGCTACAAGGATCCAAAGCGTCCAGCGTGGCAGACAAGCACGAAGGCTCTTGGCGGCTGAGCAGTACAGCCAACACAGCAGCGTGGACGAGGCAAGCACGCAGCAACAAAACGACTCGGCCGACACACAGCGTGCCGAGGCCGCTACAAGGATTCAAAGCGTACAGCGTGGCAGACAAGCGCGAAGGCTCTTGGCGGCAAAGCAGCAAAGCCAACACAGCAGCGTGGACGAGGCAAGCTCGCAGCAAGAGGACGACTCGGCCGACGCAAAGCGTGCCGAGGCCGCTACAAGGATTCAAAGCGTCCAGCGTGGCAGACAAGCACGAAGGCTCTTGGCGGCTAAGCAGCAAAACCAACACAGCAGCGTGGACGAGGCAAGCTCGCAGCAAGAGGACGACTCGGCCGACACAAAGCGTGCCGAGGCCGCGAAAAGGATTCAAAGCGTCCAGCGTGGCAGACAAGCACGAAGGCTCTTGGCGGCTGAGCAGCAAAGCCAACACAGCAGCGTGGACGAGGCAAGCTCGCAGCAAGAGGACGACTCGGCCGACGCAAAGCGTGCCGAGGCCGCTACAAGGATTCAAAGCGTCCAGCGTGGCAGACAAGCACGAAGGCTCTTGGCGGCTAAGCAGCAAAACCAACACAGCAGCGTGGACGAGGCAAGCTCGCAGCAAGAGGACGACTCGGCCGACACAAAGCGTGCCGAGGCCGCTACAAGGATTCAAAGCGTCCAGCGTGGCAGACAAGCACGAAGGCTCTTGGCAGCCAAGCAGCAAAGCCATCACAGTAGCGTGGACGAGGCAAGCTCGCAGCAAGAGGACGACTCGGCCGACACACAACGTGCCGAGGCCGCTACAAGGATTCAAAGCGTCCAGCGTGGCAGACAAGCACGAAGGCTTTTGGCGGCAAAGCAGCAAAGCCATCACAGCAGCGTGGACGAGGCAAGCTTGCAGCCAGAGGACGACTCGGCCGACACAAAGCGTGCCGAGGCCGCTACAAGGATTCAAAGCGTCCAGCGTGGCAGACAAGCACGTTGGCTCTTGGCAGCCAAGCAGCAAAGCCATCACAGCAGCATGGACGAGGCAAGCTTGCAGCAAGAGGACGACTCGGCCGACACACAGCGTGCCGAGGCCGCTACAAGGATTCAAAGCGTCCAGCGTGGCAGGCAAGCACGAAGGCTCTTGGCGGCAAAGCAGCAAAGCCATCACAGCAGCGTGGACGAGGCAAGCTCGCAGCAAGAGGACGACTCGGCCGACACACAGCGTGCCGAGGCCACTACAAGGATTCAAAGCGTCCAGCGTGGCAGACAAGCACGAAGGCTCTTGGCGGCTGAGCAGCAAAGCCAACACAGCAGCATGGACGAGGCAAGCTCGCAGCAAGAGGACGACTCGGCCGACACACAGCGTGCCGAGGCCGCCACAAGGATTCAAAGCGTCCAGCGTGGCAGACAAGCACGAAGGCTCTTGGCGGCTAAGCAGCAAAACCAACACAGCAGCATGGACGAGGCAAGCTCGCAGCAAGAGGACGACTAGGCCGACACACGGCGTAGGATTCAAAGCGCCCAGCTTGCCAGACAAGCGCGAAGGCTTTTGGCGGCCAATCAGCAGGAGCAGAGGCACGGTGGGGAAATCTCGAATAAGAAGAGTACTTTGTCTAGGACACCAGCGTAGAGACACAGTTCTTCGACTTGTCCCAGCCGCAGGACACAGATTGCTGCAGGCGTCTGGCAGAACACACCGGGACCTCAAAGCAGCTGTTTTTAGTGACGAACATGTCGGTTGTTTTGCAGCACCAGCGAAGACGGCCTTATTCTGTGAGCGGAGCTACCTGCAGTGCATGCTGAGATCGGCGTGCAATGGCAATATCCGGCATGATCAGGCCAGAGTTCACATGGAACATTCAAGAATGCACGGAGCCCATGCTAAAGCAGTGGCAAGCCCCGTCGTGGAAAGCATCCGAACAAGCAGCGGACTCGCACGGCGGCGCGAAGCAAAACACCTGGTAGTGGTCAACATGGCCTGACAAGCTGCGTCCAGCTGCGTCTCCATCGTCAATGCGAAGGGCCCCGTAACTTTCTGAGGAGCGGGGTCGACCTCTACACCACGGGAGATTCGAGTCCCACTCCCACTGGGTGTGTAGGGGAGAAGTCTGGATCAGTCTGGGTCCTTGGAGAGGAAATGTGCTGTTTCAGGCTTGAGGAACATACCACAGTGAGGATACCGTAGTAAGAGTACCGGTGTTCATGATGGGCTGTGGAGAATCGCAGGTTTCCTCTCGCTTCTCCAAAGTAGGCGATCGCGTCTCATGAGCAGCTGAGCTAAAGTGCTCACCGCCAAGCAGAATCGCTTTGCATCGGCGTTTGGATGCAGGGAGTGCAAGGAGAGGAACAATGGCCCCTGCAAACATCGCCAATGGTGGGCGAGCCAGCTGAGTGCCATCCACTCCTTGCGCAGCGTTTAGGTCCAGGCTTGCTACTCCCCACGACAGCCCTCAGAGAAGCCTCCAAAGGGCCCGTTTATGGACTTCCGGTTGGGTTTGTAACTTGAATTGTCATGGTGCAGCGTGGCGCGCCCGCCCTTCCGGGACATTCTGCGCAGAGCCAGGCACGTTTGCTTTGGCAGAGGAGCCGTGCTCAACTAGCACAGGTGTTTTTTTGGGGATCGCGTGTGTGTTAACTGGAATGCCTGCTTTTTGTGGACCGAGCGTGTTTAACAAGCATTCTTTTTTTGGGGGACCGAGCGTGTTTAACTGGCATTTTGATTGTTGGGAACAGAGCGTGTTTAACTAGTATCCTTGCTTTTGGGGGACCGTTACTAGCATCCTTGCTTTCTGGGGACCGTGACTAGCATCCTTGCTTTTTGGGAACCGAGCATGTCCAACTAGCATCCTTGCTTTTTCGGTCACCGAGCGTGTTCAACTAGCATTTCCGCGTCTTGGGGACCGAGTGTTATGCGTGTTTGCCCAATATCATTGATTTTCGGGAACCGAGCGTGTTTGAATGGCATCCTTGCTTGTTCGGGGGGCGGGCGTATTTTACTGGCATTCGTGCTTTTTGGGAGACCGAGCGTGTTTATCTAGCATCGAGCGTGCTGAACTAGCATCCTTGCTTTTTGGGGAACGCGCGTGCTGAACTAGCACCCGTGTTTGTTAAGGACCGCGCATGTTTACCTTCCATCCCTCTTTTTGGAGACCGAACGTGTTTAACTAGCATCCTTGCTTTTGGGACCGAGCGTGCTTGACCAAACAAAATCCTTGTTTTTTGGGGACAACGCGTGTTTACCTAGCATCCTTGCTTTTTCGGGACCGATCGTGCTTATCTAGCATCCGTGCTTTTTGCGGACCGAGCGTGTTTAACTAGCATCCGTGCTTTTTGGGAACCGAGCGTGTTCACCCAGCATCCTTGCTTTTCGGGGACCGAGCGTGCTTATCTAGCATCCGTGCTTTTTGGTGACCGAGTGTGTTTCACTAGCGTTTAACTAGCATTCTTGTTTTTTGGTGACCCAGCAGCGTGTTTAACTGGCATCCTTGCTTTTTGGGGCGGGGAGCGAGCGTATTTGATTGGCATCCTTGCTTTTTGGGAACGGACTGTGTTCAAACTAGCATTCTTGCTTTTTGGCGATTGAGCGTAGTTTACTAGCATCCTTGCTTTTTGGGGACAGAGCGTGTTGAACTAGCACCCTTACTTTTTGGGGAGTGAGCGTGTTTAACTAGCATTTTTGCTTTCGTAGGGACCGAGTGTGTTGAACTAGCATCCTGACTTTTCGGGACCGAGTGTGCTTAACTCGAATCCCATCCGTTTTTTTTTTTTTTTTTTTTTTTTGGGGGGGGGGGGGGGGGGGTCGGGCATGCTTATCTAGCATCCTTGCTTTTTGGCTTGCTTACTTTTGCGGGCACCGAGCGTGTTTAACTAGCATCCTCACTTTTTGGGGACCGACTGTGTTGAACTAGCATCATTGCTTTTTGGGGACCGAGTGCGGTTAGCTAGCATCTTTGCTTGTTGGGGGATCAAGCGTTGGAGGGCGCATGCAGAAGCCTAGGAGGCCACAACTCGGTTAATGTTTCATTCATGGAACCGAAGCTGTAAGTTCATTCCAGTGCTGGCCGTGAAACTCATGAAGCTCGCCCTGTGGCTTGGGCCACGCCATGCCACGCCATGGGTCCCGATGCACGACCCCTTTGAAAAAGCCAGCTTTTGCAAACCCCTCTCAATACTTGTTTGGGCATGATTCGGCATGATTATACGGACCCTCGTTTTGCCACACATCAACCAACAACCAACACTGAGTTTGAGAACCACTTGGCCTGGCAAAAAAACGTCGGCACCTCTGCCGTAAAGGAAATCTGGAAGAGGCACCACTGGCAGCGGCTGATGCTCATGATTCTCGCCCCTTTGGCGCTTTCACTCGCCCCGCTCAGTCCGGCGTCACGATGAGCCAACTGTGATGATTACCTATAATCGAGAGCGAGAACAAAGCAGGCTGATGCTACTTGATCATCGTTGCTTCACTTACCATCAGCAATCCTTAACGCCCTACATCTGATTCGACCCCAATCCACACAAAAAACATGTTGCTTGCTGAGCTCTTCCGCTTGAGACTTATTCGAATTGAATAGGAATCTAAGTTCTTTTGCATTGGTCTGGTCTAGCAAATGACTTCCCTTGTGTCTTACCCGTGTGTTCTCATGACCCTTCTTTATGTGCTCTCAAATTGTCCATGCGCTTGATTATCGGCGGGGAGGAGCGGCGACGCGGCACCGTTTGAGGCTTTAACGGTGGGGTTGAGGATTCAGGGTCACAGTGAGTCTACGAGCCTTCAATCGAGGTCTTGCCCGTTTAAGGAAGCACCAGTGCCGTGTTACCCTTGTTGCTGGGGCTTTGGGCTTTGTGCACTTGGCCAGCTGTTTGAGTACGCAAGTCACAAGTGATCAGAAGATCAACAAGCATAGTGCTCAGCGACAGTCCGGAATTTAGGCTTGCCCTGCAGACCGCCACATATCGACACGCTTCAGATTGTTTCGTAAGGCTTCTTGTAATGAGAGCACCTCGTGCGCGAGGCCATGCTAGATGCCATGCCGGACGCCACCGTGGCACCATGCTCCACAATGCGCCTGTTTGTAAAGGCTGCTGGGGTCTCCAGCCGCTCCAGCCTTGCTCCAGACGGCTGCGCTCCAGCCTTGCTCCAGACGGCTGCGGGCACAACGAGGGTCTTTTGGGCTTGCCATGCGGACAGGACATGACATGGCATACACAGCAGCAGAGGCACAGGAGCCAACGCATGACCTTGTGACCTTGTGAGCGTTGCGCCTCCGTGACCGGCTGAAGGGCATCGCCAAATTAGCCACTCCTCTCTTGTCCTGACGGTCCCCGTCCAAAGTGATGCTGCCGCGGCTGGTCAGCATGTTGCCCTTGGCGCATGGCGGAAAGTTCATGGGGATTCACGGTGTTTCAGCTGTGCCGAATTTTCCAGTTGGGCCCCAGTTGGGCCTCGTTTATCAGGCAACGAAACATCTTGCAGAGATGCATGTGACGAAGAAGTGTCTTGCGACTGTACGCTCTTCGATCCAGCTCGCGGCAGCTGCACCAATGCAGGCTGGCTGTGTGCATCTTATGGCTCCCGATTCTCGCAATGATGAAGGCAGTCTGGAGCTGTACATCCAGCTCCCACCCCATCTTTGGCCTTGCTCTGTCTTCCCGGGGACAGATGCGGAATCCCGAAGCCAAGCCGTTACTGACAAGACAGGAATGACTGAGAACGAGTGCGTGGACCTGTGCCTCCAGCGCAGTGACTGTCAATGCGCAGTTCTTGAGACCAAAGATCGATGGAGTTCTTCAGATAACCACTGCTGGATCCGCAAGAATTGCCAACCTCAGCGCTTTAAAGAAGTGGCGGCCCTGGAGGCGTTCATATCATTTGTGAAGGCGCCGCGAGGCATTCCAGAGGGTGGTCCGCTCGGTGGGAGCTCTCCGGTGCTAATCCTGTGCTTGGTGTTGATACTGGTTCTGGCAGCCGTCACCGTGGTGATTCTGAATTTTCTCCGAAGGGCAGGTCCTACCGAGCCATCCTGAAGGATTGGGCAGTACCCAAGGAGGAGAGCTCCAAGATTCCAAGATAGAATATGCAAAAGATCAGCTCGTGGCATCGCTTATCTGGGGTCCGTGGAATTGGCCTTGGAGTCGAGGGTTCGCAAGTGTGTTCAGTGTGCACAAGGTACCAGAAACCATCAAGCCGCCCAGGATCGATGCCTCTGTGACAAACCTGAAGGTGCAACTGTGCTTCATTCTGGATTGCACAGGCAGCATGAAGATACAAATTGGCCAGGTCGAAGACAGCGTGACCGAAATCATTGAGTCCATGCAGAAGCTTCGCATAGCTTGCTTGCCCAATGCCTCCATCGATGTTGAAATGGGAGCAGTGGCCTACTTTGACTGGGATGCTGGGTCCCGGAAGTTGGGAAGGCCTGTGGTCTCTGTCTTCGGTGGTGGCGGGGTTTCGGAGGAGCACAGCGACACCTTGACACCTGAGAGATTCTGCTTCGGTGGAAAGTGGACCAAGGACACAGCTGCCCTTCAGAAGTCGATCAACCAAGGTCCTTTGGGCATGGGGGTCTGCCCGCCTTGACGCTCCCATGTGCCGAAAGCTTCAGCGGACCGATCCAAAACTCATTCATGAGAAGGTAAGCCCTTCAGAGACTGTGCTGGAGGGCAGGGTCCAAGTACAACCTCTCACTTACATTTTAAAGCCCTTCACTTTGCCCGACGAGGCGCCCACCGGAGCCTTGATTTGCGAAAGCGCAGCTGCCGTGGCTGTTGGAGATTTGGCCGCCAACACAACCTTTGAGGTCGAGGTCGGCGGCAAGGCGCGATCCATGACAGTGTTGCCAACTCCTACAATCCAAAGGCCGAGCTTAGGCTTAGTGACTTAGTGACTTAGTGCCATACTTAGTGCAAGAGCGCGAAACACACATGTAGAAGACCTTGGGCTATAAAGTTTGAGTCTGAGTACGCTGACAGTACACGTACTGCATACTCAATTTGAGTGTGTCTCGTTCTTTGCTCGTTCTTTGCAGTTTTGTTCACCCCGAGGTGACGATGTCACGGCCAGAGCCGGAGCTGGACGAGCGGTTCGAGTCCAAGAGCGACCAGGTGGAGTTGGATCGAGGTTTCGACCTGGAGAAATCCTACACTTTCAAGATGCCCATCAAGAGCCTCTAAAAAGCCTCTCTTCTTGAATTCCTGGGGGCCTGCGCCACCGCACGGCAAGGGAAGTCCCGATTGAGCCGCTGACAGTAAATGTGTCAAAGGCCGGGCATTCGCTTGAATCTCGCAGCTTTTTGTGGCTTGTCCACCCACACCTCTAGACTGCATGACTCCATGACTGCTTTGCATCACCCGCAAAACATGCCAAACCGCATGCCAGCCTTGCGAACTTGCTTGTTCGACCCTGCTTTTTTGCTGCATCACAGCTGAACGATTACAGCGCATACTGCAGCTCTCCGAGTCTTTCAGGGCCAAGGGAACGGATTCATGATGCCAACTCGTGGCATTCGCTCGGATTTGTTGTCCACTTTTATGAGTGGCCATCTGTTGTTTGTTTGTTTGTTTGTTTGTTTGTTTGTTTGTTTGTTTGTTTGTTTGTGTGTGTTTGTGTGTCACACTTCGGTGACTCCTCATGCGCAGGGGTCATGCTACTCTTCATCGTGCACGAACACTCCTCCTTGGAAGCCTTGCTCATCCCCTCGCTGCCTTGGTCTACGGGCTACGGGATGGACCCACGAGAATTAGGAGTCAGCTCCCATCGAAAGACGATGTAAAACCTCTGACTGTAAGCAAATAGCCCCCATCCCACTGCGAGAAGCAACTAGCCTGCACATGTCGGGCACATTCTTCTGACACCTCGATCACGAGAGAAGCATCTGAATTTGGCACCATGAAGCTGAGGGCCGAGCTGCGGGCCGAACAACTGCTTCTCCCGTTCCGAACGTCGCACGTTGCGACGTTGCTGCGCCGTCGCCAAGCGAAGAGATGAACCTTGCAGGCCGGTTTCGTCAATCATGTGAGTTTTGTGCGTGCTGGGCACCACTTCGTTTGCATTGTCGATCTCCCTGCACTCCTGCGCCTTCTCGGCCTCGGCACATTCCTTAATGGGGTCCAAAATGCCGGAGGCTTTGGGGCTTGCTGTTTGGAGTCCGAAAATAAAATTCGACCGCCTTTTGGGCGAGCGCAGGGTGTAGGGCCTAGGGTTTTAGCGGCACGGCTCCTGCTGTATTCCATGAGTTTTCATTCTTCGTCGGTTCGAGCTACCACGCGTGTTGGGGCCCATCCAGGTTGCCGCGTGACGTGGAGTAGTCGCGGAGTGAGCCCGGTACCGGCATGTTTGTACAGAAGGTCTTCCTGGCTCCTTTCTTTCTTCGCCCTTCTCGTTCTCGTTCTCTCTCTCTCTCTCTCTGCCTCTTCCTCTCTTCCGCCCCGCCTTCTTTGTCATTGGGAGAGCAGTGGGAGGAGATATGTTTTTGCCCGAACCTGACCCTGCGGCAGCACTGCAGCGTCATGCTAGTGGCACATGTCCAGAACTCATCAAATGTGTTTCGTGCTCCCTGAGCCCTGAGCACCTTTAGCCATGTCAAATGTGTTTCTACGGCTTTCTGTCAAGGTGTCGTGGGGCTACGATGTTCGATTGAAAGCGCATGCAGGGCATGTCCGCGCAGCCAACCAGGCACACACCCAGACCCGTGCACTCAGGCACTCATGCGCGTCCAAGAACATCTGCATGCATCAGGGTCGGAACGTTTGAGTGCCAGGGTGTTCGCCGGCCAGCTGGTTTTGGTTCCCATGAACTCGATCATGGTGCTGGTAGAATCCAGATCTGCATCGCTTAGCCAAAGTGCATCTTTCTGCGTCCGCCGGCATGCAGAGCTCGAGCTAGCCAAGCAATTCGGCAGCTGCTGCAAATTGTCCAGCGCTTCGGCCGCGCTTGTGGGCTTAGGTCCTAGGTCCTTGCATATTGCAGGTCTGTATGCTGTTCATTGCGACCGCGCTTGAAGGAGCCGCCATGGTGGAGTGCCTGAAAGTGGGCATGAAGCTGCACGCCATGTACAAGGGCGATGGTGACCTGTAGCGATTGGGATGGAAGCTTCGCTGCACGTGAGGTCGCATGAGAAGCCGAGGTGAGTACTATCGGGCCATGGTTGTTAGTTTGGCACCAAAGAGACGGAAGGCTCCTGCGAAGGTGCAGAGAGGGCAGTGCGACTTGTTTCCTACATCCCACAGGAGCTTGCCTGACGCGACCTGGACCGTACTCACACCGTGAGTCGCAGGTCCACTATGCTGGTTATGGTGACGAGGCCGACGCTTGGGTTTCCATCGGCATGCTCAAGTCCAAGGCGGACACTTGTCAGTGGTTTCGTTGCTGATCCCTCCTGCCATTCTCCCATTCTCGGAGGTTTTGCCGAAGAAGAAAGAGAAGACGGAGAATCCTGCCAAGGCGGGCTTCGTAGGCGATCAGGAAATCAGATCAGGAAAGGAGGCGAAAAGAAAGCCAGAGAGAGAGAGAGATCCCGCCAAGGCAAAGCCGATGGATTACTCGGCAGTCAGGAAAACCATGCGCCTGCATGCCGAAGCAGGGACCTGAGTTCCAGACGGAGGGAAGGATGGGATACATGCATGGTGGGAGCTGGGGGGGGCGACCAGAGTCAAGGCCGACGGAAAGTATTGGGCAGCAGAGGCGACGTGGGCTTGAAACTCGTGTCACTGACCGGTCCTGCATGGTCCTGCTTTCAGGTTGCGATCTCTTGGGTGGTTCAGTGCAATCTGTCGTAGTGCCAGGTCGTGGCCGTCAATTTGAAGAAGAAGGCTGCGCCAGTCAAGGCACTTAAAGAACGCTCAACGTGGACATATTATATGTCCTCTGCCTGCCAGACACCCACAAGTCTAGTGAGGGGCCTACAGACAGCATTAACACACTGTTAGAGCTATTGCCGTTGTCCCTCTGCTTTTCATGAACTCCAGTTTTCAGTGGAGGTGAACTTCATCGGCTATCACGAGCAGTATGACGAGTGGTTGGGAGCCGATCGGCTGCGCTCCAAGGCGATTGTGCCACTCAAGGACAACAAGGACGGGACACGTACAATCTCCCTCCATTGTGAGTTCTGAGTCTTTCCTGCACAGTTTCCATGCTTCCATTCCTGCTCATGCATACTCATTGTCATCATACTAGGGGGGCCGCAAGGCCCTTGGGCTGCAAGCATGCAGGATCACGAAGATGCAAGAAGCCCTAAGGCTCACATGTCCGCTCAGTGTCCATTTCCAGTCATTTGACAGTGCGACACCACAGGCGGAACACGTTTCCATCATGCCACCAATGGCGACGAAGTATCCGAATCTTTTGGCCAAGGCCAAGGCACGGGACTGTCTACCAGAAGCAAAGAAAACAGTATATACACCGACGGATGCCGATGGGCAGGTGCAGGCTCCTCTCGACCCAGGCATCAGTCTTGCCATGAGCCCCCCAACGGTCACAAGATTGTAACGTGGGAGGCCTTTGTCCGCCTGTTCTGGCAAAGCAGAAGTACAAAGAGGCGACAAAGGACCCAATGAATCCCAGTAGGGCAGCACTCTGATGTCGACATCTCCACGACACATGTGTAAACGATGCAGGACTGTTCAGACAAGCAGCATCGTGCGGGCGTCTACAGCCGCCACTTAGATCCCGTCTTCCCGGACACCAACCGGCCAGGGACTTCAGTGTTCAGTATCCTCAGAGTCCATGTTGCTTGCAAAGCAACAAATAAAGGGCCCCTCTTTTCATTAGCTTTTTTGTTGACCCCCGGCCAGCAAACCCTGTCCGAGGAAGCTTTTTCCTAACCCCTCCCCAACCTCTTCCCCTTGACCCCCCCCCCTCTTTTTTCCCCCCCCACCCCCCGAGTTTTTTTCAGCCCCCCTAGCTTTCTTTTAACCCTCGCCAGCTCTATTAACCCCGCCCCCCCCGCCCCCCCACCTTTTTGACCCTCGTCTCCATCGGGAGGTGTTTTGCGGTTTTGCGGAGGGGAGGGATTCAGGCACAAGGGCCCGCGAACCTAGATCCGAAACCTTAACACTCCGCCCCCTCGGCTGTTACGCACCGTTACCCGCCCATACCCGCCTATCACCCATCATTTACCTGCGCATCGTTATCCACCATTACCACCTCTCCATTCCAATCCTTTATTCTTCGTTCCCATTTCCCGCCATCACCCACCACTACCCAACAGTATTACGCGCCCTTCTCGCCATGCCCAGGGACTACCCAGCATTATCCACACCTTTACCCACCATTGCCCGCAATCACCCGCCATTGCCGCCAGGCCTACCATTACCCACTATTGCCCACTATTCCCGCCAGTGCACACCATTTTGACCCATATCCACCATCACCCGCCATTACCCACCAGCACCCCATCGCTCCCATTTTCAAGGCATATAAACAAGGACAAATAATCCCAGCAGGTATCCCCAACAGCAGCAGAACGGGCAAAGGCAAGCCCACGCTCCGAATCCAATAGCAGCTAGAGGTTGTAACAGGCGTCTGCCGACTCCTTGAGGGCGCTCTCTTTCGGAGTGTTTTCATGGGTACTTGATGCGCATGGGGCCTTGCCATGTGAACACGCGACAAAACAGGGCGTAACACAGGGCGTGACATATCGGCTTGGGGCCTGGCCACGTGAACTCACGAAAAACCACAGGGTGTGAAACACAGGCTGGGGTTCACACGTCCATGAAAATATTTCTATTTATGAAGAGCATGAATGTAGTGAACACAACATGAACTTGCGATTGCGAGAACGAAGTGAGCAGAGATCATAACCCCTTAAAGGCAAACAAGCAAGGAGCTTGCGTTAAGGCGGCCCGCGTAAGCTTATCCTCGAAGCGCGTAAGCTCGCGTAAGCATTTGCGTGTTGGCGTAAGGTCGCCTAAGCTCTTGTTGCGACTCGTGTTTCAGCACTCAGAACACCTTAGCAGAGCAAAAACAACCACAGCAGCCAGAAAATGGGGTCCTGGCCCTAGCGCTTGTGCGTCACAGATGGAGGCTTTGATGAAAATGAGGCCGTGGGACGCTTTCGCGGCTTTGTTCCCAACCCCCCTTTGAGCCCCTTCGAAGGGGGGGTTTAGTATGAGGATTTTCAGGACCACCAAACCCCGCAAGCGGGGTTTGGCGTAAGCACCGCGTAAGCTCCACGTAAGCCGTGCGTAAGCCTACCAGCGAAGTCCCGAAGCCTCCAAGCTTGTCACTCGTCATGTCTTGTCCAGCCTCCACCTATAACCTGAACCCCCCCTCCCCAAAAGAAAACCAACGCTTTCCCTGCACCCTGAACCCGAACACCTCAGCTGACATTTGAAACCTAAACCCCCCAACACTACTCTTCTTCCTAACCCCAAATACTGTATGCTGCATGCTGTCCTGCAGTTTGGCTCCCGGTTGGAGAAACACAACCCGAAACCGCGTAAGCCCGCGGAAGCTTAAAAACCACAAAAGGCATGCCGCGGAAGCTAAAACTCGAAGCGCGTCGAATGCTTACAGTCTTACAGGCAAGAAAAGCTTTTGGGTTTTGGTCGCCGCTCAAGTGACTTCCTCAAAAGACCATGCAATGTTACTGGTAGTAGTAATGTGTAAGGAACGAAGAGACGCACGAATTTAATTCGGACAAGAAATAATATTGCATAAGCCCCGTAATCTACTTCCTTCATAACAGGGCAGTAAAATACACTTCTTTTCACCCGCACGTACAAAGACTTATTTTGCGCGGATGACTAGTGACAAAGGTGTAGCGGGCGATCAAAAGGAAGACGAAACCGCCCGCACTATGTTCATTCACTCATTCACTCACTCACTCGCAAGCACGGTTTTATATGAATCTTGCAAGCTCGCGCACGAAGACGAAAAGAATTGTGTAAGCCAGTGTAAGCGAGCACAAAGTCCTTCATCGCGACCAACACAATTCGTGACATACAGGTTGGGGCGTTGCCATTTGAACTGACGAAAAACACAGACGTGACATACAGGTGGGGGCTTGCCACGTGAATTTACGAAAAACATAAGGCCCGACGTACATACAGACTGGGGCCTTGCCACACACGCCCTAAGGCCCTAAGGCCTTGCCATTCTGTGAACTCACGACAAGCACAGGACATGACATACAGGCTGGCGCCTTTGCCATGTGAACTCACAACAAACACAGGGCGTGACATGCAGGCTGGATCCCCGTAAATAAAGTCTGTAGGCTATCTGTAGAGGCAGTTCCGGCACCGCATGGCACTGCACTGACGGTGAGGGAACAAAAAAAAGATCGCAACTCAAGCGCTGCAAAGCTGTAAGACTGTCAGGGACTCTCGCGCGTCGGCGCACCGTGCCGGCACCCTCATCCAGGACAAAATCCAGCTCAAGAATCCCCAAGCTCAAACATGTAGGAATGTCGACCGCGCTGATTGCCTAGCGCCCACCCGATCCAGGAGATGATTATGCAGCGAAGCGTCCACAGCTCAGTGAAGTGCACCCATGGCCGCATCAGTGCACCGCATCAGTTACACCGTACTGCGTGACCGTTTGGCATATTTTCGGCTTGGCTTTGGCAGGCCTGGAAGATCTGTTCCTTGGCTTTGGATCTTTCAGCTGGACCACGCTTTCTGAAGTTGTGCCCTGTGACATCTGATGCCATGTGACAGGTCAATTCCTCCAGAAGTGCTACTCGGCTGGAGGCCCTGGCAATTAACATACATGTCGAGTACGCGTGCACTTGCAAGCGTGAGTGCCCCAAAATGTTGAGGGCATGTGCGCTCGCAAGCGCGAGCGGCACACAGCAGTGCCCTGGAATGCCCCGGAGGAGCTTCTGAGTTCGAGGTCAAATCCATGCCCAATGCCGCCCGGTAAGCATCGAGTTGCCCTCTGACGTTTGCTTGCAAGAGTCTGCGGCACGCCGGACACGCCCTTGGAGGCCGTCCCCCCCTCCCCCCCTCCCTCCCCCCCCCTCCCTCCCCCCCCCCCCCCCCCCCCCCCCCCCTCCCCTCCCCCCCCTCCCCCCCCTCCCCCTCCCCCCCCGCCCACACCAATACCCTAGAGACACTGGCCCCCGATTGCTGATGTTTGCTGCGACTCATCCTGCGAGCATGGAGCATGTCTAGATTTTGCTCAGGTGAAGATCGTCGAAAATGAGTCAGACCTGCCAGCGGCCTACGACCCACCTCAGGCCTCGCAGGGCTTGAAACATTGGGGCCCGGCTGGGGACGGAGTGCGTGCATGCCGCAGCCGATTCAGCTGCCTAAAGCCCAAACTCCGAGTATCCTAATGTGCCAGAGGCTTAGTCCAGCTGTGTGGGCGGGAGGCAACAAAAACCTGAAACAACCTGTACACGCCAATACACGCGCCTACGCCCAAAAGCTTTAGGTTTCGGAGATTCTTGTTCTTCGCCGTTGTCCGAAAAGCCTTCCTGCCCCCGCCCTCCTAGCCAGGCGTTCTGCCATATGAGCGAGTACATGCCCGAGGTTGTGAAGGCTATGAGGGCATGCGTCAAGGAGACCGGCGCGTGCAAGCTTCTCTCAACCTGCACCACCGCCGACGAACCCAAGGAGATGATTGCGCGAGGCAAGTACCTCCTCTCAGAGCTGGGACCTTTGTCCGAGAACTGCGCGTACCTGGTGGATGGATACCGCCGCAACTTCCCAGCACGGCACCACCGTTTCGGGCATGGATTCGTGATGACCAGCCATGCCAGCGAGACCAGCCCCCAGACCCAACATGGTTTTGCAGCCTTCGTGCAGACCAAGATCACACCGGGCATCCGCACTGGTCTGAACCGCACCAAGATGGAGGGCGTTGGCGCCGACAACAAGGCATGCTGCCATGTGTCGACAAATCGAATCGACTTCCATTCCATATGTTGCAGGCCTTGACTGTTTTCTCCATGATCGAGAACCTCTGTGTGAAGAGCTGAGTTATGTGCGAACAGCGCAGCTGGCTTTGGGTCGGGAAGGCCTGCGTTTTATTGTGGGGGACCCAGGGGGCTGGAACTGGCGGGGGGGGGAGTTGTGAGGGAGTGGAGGAGACGGACCCTCGGAAAAGGGGAAGCCGAAAAAGGCCCGGTCCAAGAGGGGTCAAAGGGGACCACAAGTCACAGCAGATAGCCAGAAGACCCCACAACGGAGGCAAAACAGACCAATAAGTGCTTCGCCTTTTTGACCGCACTCCAGGGGGAGGAAAGGGGGACCCCGCAAAGGCACTGCAAGCAGAGAAGGAGAAAAAGGCACCACAGCAGACCCAGCAACAGGGGGAGCACAGCGTAGCGAAGGGTGTTCAGCTGCGACATATGGATCCCTTCCAAAGCACCGAAGGGCCTCACAAGCGACGTGCTTCGAAGTTGAGACTTTGAGTGTTCGAAGACATTCGAGCTCGACAGTTTGAAAGGTTTCTAAGTTGGAAAGTTCGAACATTTCGAGTTTGCCCTTTGGTAATACTAATACATGAAGGGAGGTCACTTTCAATCTTCAAGCTTTCAAAGTTTCGAACTCTCAAATGTCTCAAACTTTCGAACGATCGAACACTTAACTTCGATGACTTCCTTTCAAACTCAATCTCCAATTTGTTTCGATCCCGACTTTGAAAAAAAATCAAACTGTGGAAGTTTGGGGTTCGATGGAGTTTCGAGCTTGAGAGTTCGAGAGGTTGACGCATCTCGACCTCGAAAGTTTGAGCCGCGACCGAGTTTGACAGTTTGAAAGTTTCGAGTTCGGAGTTTGAGGCCATGCGTAGGCTAGGGCAGCCACGACGCTGCGAGTTTGAACGTTTGAAAAGTCCGGAGTTTGAGAGTTTGAAGCTCGAAGCCTTTCGAACTTGAAACGTTTGAATATTCCATGTGTTATAGTTTGAAGGCCGTTCCAGTTCGCGAGTTTGAGAGTTTGAAACAACACGAGTTGACAGCTTCGAGTTCGAGAGTTTCCCGAGTTTGAACGTTGGGAGTTCGATAGTTCGCCACGTGCGCGTCGAGTATTATTCTACATTCCACCCCCCTCGAGTGGGAGAAGTGACGACCGAGAGAATTATTCTAAATTCCATGTTTTTCTGTTTCATTCCATGAGAATCGAAGTCGCAGGAGAAGTGGTGTTCGAGAGAATTATTCTGAATTCCACTCCGCTCGTTTCCTGTTCTTCGTGTGTTTAACTCTTACAGTACGGTGACAACTTTAAAATATGTAGAGGGCGGCCAGCCGCAAATCCAATCGGAGGTAGTATGAACAGTTTTATTCCGGATGTTTAGGCTACGGATGTTTAGTTGGGGGGAAGTGGAGGACCAAAAGGCCCAAGGCCTCTCCAACCTTAAGGCCCGCCAGCCCTCCATCAACCCCCCGCCCCTCGAACCTACGCCCCTCGAACCCTCCAACCCTCCATGCTCCAACCCTCGAACCCCGCAAGGCTCCAACCCTCCAACCCTCCAACCCAGCAAGGCTCCCCTCCAACCCTCCAACCCAGGAGGGTGGAGGGCCCAGGAGGGCTCAGGGTTGGAGGGCTAGGGTTGGAGGGCTTAGGGTTGAGGGGCTCAGGGTTGAGAGGTTGGGGTTGGAGGGCACTTCGGGTTGGAGGACCCAGGCTTGGAGGGTCCTTCCAACCTCTAACGCGCCAACCCTTCGACCCTCCCTGCCCCTCCAACCCTCCCACGTCCAACCCTCCGGCCCTTTGACACCTGCCTCGGAGGTAGTGTGCGGTATCTGTGTTATCTGTTCAATGTCCGGAAGTTTAAAAGTTAAAAAGCATCATCGTAGGAGAAGTGATGGTCGAGCGAATTATTCTAAATTCCACCCCCCCCCCTCGTTTCTTGTTTTTGCGTCTTGTGTTTCATTCTTCGAGTGGGAGAAGTGATGGTCGAGTGAATTATTCTAAATTCCACCAGCTTGTTTTTGTTTTTCTGTTTGAACGAAGTCGAAGGAGAGGTGGTGTTCGAGAGAATCATTGTAAATTCCCCCCCCCCCCCCCTCCCTCGTTTTTTGTTTTTTTTCGTGTGTTTCATTCTTCGAGTAGGACAAGTGACAAGAGAATTGAAAGATCCTCCCCCCCTCGTTTTGTGTTTTTGCTTCTTGTGTTTCATTCTTCGGGTAGGGGTAAGAGAGAGGGAGTAACGGGCGGAAGGCAGGGAGATGGGGTAGAGGTAAGCGGGATAGTCCAGGGCGGTTGGTTGAATACGCGGGCTTGGGATTGATAATAGGGCTCAGGATCTCGGGTGCTACCCTAAACCTTGCCCATGCATAACCTTTGGTGCCCCGCTCTACCTCTAAACCCTCAACCCTAAACCCCTCAGCCCTGGGAGGGTGCCTGAAGTTGTCCTGAACTGAACCCTCATGCTGGAAACTTCCCGGTGCATTCTGGGGGTTTAGGGTTTAGGGGTCTACCGTGGAAATCTTTCGCCCAGAACGCACCAGGCCTTTTGGCCTCGACAACCCCAAGCCCTATGTGGTCTCAACGTGCTGTCAAACTTTCAAACTTTCAAAGCGCGAGTCGCGAGATTTATCAAAGTAGCAAACTTTTTGTGTTCGAGTGCCGTCAAAGTTTCAGGCTTCGAGCTTACAAACTCGTATTGTTTTCAAAGTTCAAACTCCGAACTTTCTGGACGCGTCAACTCTCAATCTCTGGTACCTTCAAACTCTCAATCTCTGAAACTCTCGAACCCAGAGGCGCTCAAACTTCGACCTCGAACCCCCTGAAGCTTTCGAACTCGAGGCCCGGTCCTGCCATGTTTGAATTGAGTTCGGGAATTCGGCTTCAAACTTTCGAACTCGGTCTAGATTCTAACTTTCGAGCTCGAAACTCTTTCAAACTTCAAACTTTCGATCTCCGTGTCGTTCATCGCTTTCATTCTTCAAACTTCGAAAAATTTCAAGCTCCAAAGTTTCAATGGCCGTTCAAATGTACAAATTCTCTAACGCTCAAAGTTTGAAAAGAGTACTCGTGAACTCGTGACACCTATCGCAGCACCCCCCCCCCCCCCTCCAACCCCCACGCTTGTTTTCAGCCGGGCAAGCTTGCTTCAAAGCATATGAATCCCTTCCAAACCCACGATGCCCCGCTGACTTCAAAACCTATGAAGCGAGCATTGTGTCTGGGCTATGCCCCCCCCCCCCTTCTCCCCACACCCCCCGCCAATGAAATTTCTCATTCTCCCCCAAACCCCCCCCGCCCCCCCCGATGAAATTTTACAAAAGCCCCCCACCCCTTCCCCCCCCTCCCTCCCCCAAAGAAGTTTTTACAAAAGCAAGATATACAATCACGATACATTGGTCTCCATCAATCAGTTTACACAGCGAAGATTCACAGCAAGTGCAATCATTCAGCCACTTTGTCTCATGAGTCTTGAGCCAATCTTTGTTGGCACCTCGAGCCTTGAGCCTTGAGCCAATCAAGTCAAAAGTGGCAAATTCGTCTGTCGAGGTCACAAGCAACGTGACTGGACCAAATGATGGTCTGGAAAGCGATGCTCTATTTAACACGGTCCCTTGGACGAGACTTCAGTCAATCGTCCAAATCTTAATTCTACGTCAATCTACGAAACTTGAATGGCGACTCAGAGGGTTCACTTTTGCAATGCCGATCTGCAAAGAAACCCAAGCTGTCATCAACTCTTCTACACAATCCAGAAGGTCAAAAGTAGCAGAAGTCAATGCAGTCTGAAAAGCATCTGCAAGAATCATTGTGGAAACGTTGTCGGATGCATCCAATACACCTGAAGTAACGATTCACAACGCAGTTCGAAATCATCCAGCATCAATGTCTGCGGAATATCCATCTAAAAATGCAATGGTCATCGAAATCGCAAATCTGACAGTCACAAGCCATAGTCACCACATCTGCAACCCATACCATGTCAGGAATGTTGCTCACACAATGTTCTTGCGAACAATGGTCCTGAGCGCAACGGGCGGATATCCCAAATCATGCATTCATTGCCGAATGCCACACGGAAACAATCCAGAAGCTATCCAGCAATCCAGAAGTGGCGCTCAATTACATAGAGTGGTTCTCAATGTGTTTGTACTGTGAGCCGTGCGAAAAAAAGCAATACCATCAAACCAGCTATGAAATCACAGGCGCTGAGAAATACACAAAACGGTACCAAGTGTACGTCGTATGCACCAATTCACTGCACTTTGATGCTTCGAAAGGCATCGGTGGCATTCAATCTAGTTGCCTTGCTTCACGTCAATCTTCCTTCCATTCTGCATCGCAATCACCGCAATCGATTTGCTGTCAATGTCTTCGCGAGCAGACAATGTGTTGTGTTTCTTGGCCTCCTCTGCAGGAGGCCAATCAATTTCTTCCATCTTGTCCTCAATGACGCAGGGTCCGAGGTAGCACTTGACAATGGACGTGGAAGGATCGATCCACGATGCATAGCCCAATAGCTTCCATCCGAGCTAGGACAATATTACGGCAACTCGATGCCAATGCCCAAACCAAATCTTCACAAGTCCTGTTCATCCTAAACTATGCTGCACGTGCAATTTGCGCTACGCTCAAAGTCATTCTCCACGATGACTTGAGCACTTCCAAGTCGGGTTCAAGGTTGAGGCTATTGGTTCATAAACAGATAGCCTTGACGAATCCAATGGCAAAGCTTGCTCAACGCAGCTTCCAGAGTCAAAGGGTCAACCATCATTTTACCTGCGTGCACACGCAAGGACAATCTGTCAGCTTCAATGTTTCTCCTGCGATCACAACAGCGGCGCACGCTGATCGGCAACGCCAAAAGAACATAAAAACTTCGCCAATGTTGTCTCGTCGTCAATGGTGGTCGGTTGCGGAACGATGAAACATATGCTGTCAGCACTGGGAGAGGCATCCAGTTTCGCAATGCTAGTGGCGTCGTTCAGTGTTGCAATCGGCAAGTTGGTAGTGGGCAATGCCCACATCAGTGCTCTGATTGCCAATGCGGCAGATCCAGGGGCCATAC